AGCCTGCTAAGATTTTATTTAGTAATAGGCGTAAGGAGTATATATTACCTCTATTTACTAGCCTAAAGCGTACTATAATCTTTTTATTACAGCCTAATATAAGGAGCTAGATAATAAGGTAATTAAAGACCTTAACTATTAACTATAATAATAAATAAGCTTATTTAACTATAGTCTATAATTTATTCCTTTAAATCTTATATTAGCTAAGCTATTTATATTTATAAATAAATTATTTACTAATAATTATAATATAACTTTATAGTTAGGATTTATTATCCTTTTTATAAATAAAAAAGTTAATAATAACTAAGCTAAGTTTTCCTTTTATAGTAATATTTTTTATTTTTTATTTATAAAGTCTAAATAAGTTACCTAAAGCGTCCTTATATCTAAAGTGTATAAGATAGTTATAGGCGTTAATATAGCTTACGCCTTATTTATAACTATTATAATAATTATAAAGAAGCTTAATATCTTATTAATCCTAACTATTATATATATAGACTTATATTTACTTTATAAATACCTAGTTAAGCTAGGAACTATAAGGGAGAAACGTCTTATAATTAATATTATGTTACTAAGATAGTCTTATAAGTAACATAAGCTTTATAAAGTCTAATAGATTACTAGATCTAATAATCTAGCTAATAGATTTATAAAGGTATTCTTAAATTAAGTACTTAAAAGGCTAGTTATAAATAATAAAGCTAAGATATATATAAAGGGTTAGGTTATATAGGCGTAATAGATTATAATAAGTATATAGTAAAGAATAAATTATAGGTTATATAACTAACTAGATTATAATAGTAGTAGTTAAATCTAACTAATATAGGAATACGCCTCTAATAGCTATAGCTAAGGAGAAACACCTCTAGATAAGTTAGTATAAGCCTATACTATTTATAAGGAATAAAAAAAAATAAAGGATATAGGAATATATAGCACGTAACTATAAGAAGTATAATACTTTTAAAGTTTTAATTTTTATTACGTTTTTAGGCCTTTTAAGGCTAATCTAGATAGCTAGGGCACTAGTAACTTTTACTATAAAAGAAAAGTTACTAGTATTAGTATACAGTAGGTAGGCTCTAGGGGAGGTAGCCACGTAATATTTATATAACACACTGCCTCCCTTAGTAGTATCTACCTTACTACTAGTATACTACCTATAAGTCTAGATTTACTTTATAACTAACTAATATAATAAGTAACTACTATATTTTATATTATAATTTATTATATAATCTATAGAATATCCCTTTATAGTAATTAAACTAATAATTACTAATTTTGTCTTATTTCTTTTTAAAAAGGATGCTATAAAGTAAAGTTAGGACAAGATACATAAGGCCTGCTTACAGTATAATAACGTAGCTACACTTAAGGCGTACTATTAGGCCGCTAAGGATTCTGTCTTGTTAATAAAAGATATAGTAGTAGCTATAAGTTAAAGCACCTACTTATAGCCCCCCCCTATATTTAGCCTACCCTAAAAACAATACTATTATAACACTACTACTTTATTTAATTAACTATTAATAACCTCTTAATACTATAATAATATAGCTTTTAGCCTTACTAGGTAATTCTAATACGCTAGATTTATCTAGCTTACTTTTAGTATTACTAGCTGTAATCTAGGCTTACTATACCTCCTTAATTATTACAAACTTTATATTTAGATCTAGTGTAACAGCCTTCTATTTTCTAGTTATACTATTAGTAACTTAGGCTTCTAGAAGGCTTATTTTTTACTAGGTAGTAGCTAGTGTATATAACTACTCTTAGAAGCCTTTTTTAACTTTTCTAAAAAGCTAGCGTTATATAGTAATATTTTACTTTAGTTAGCTAAATAGTTAAAGTTAATTCTTAAGGTCTTTTACTTTTCTTAGTGTAGACTACTTTATACTAAATAGCTAACTATTTATACTATTAGTATCCTAGGCCTTATAAATATCTCTAGTAGCTAGATTAAGTAGTGTTAATAGTGTTAATAGTGTTATTATTACTTTTTAAACTAGTAGCCTATTTATAAGTAGCTTTATTATACTAATAGGCTATAACCTAGTGTATTTCTAGCTACTTTTAATATTACTTATAGTTAATCTAGCTAAGTAAGCCTTATAATAGTAAGAAATAAAGTTCTTTTTACTTATAATAGTAAAGTTAATTTACTAACTTAGATATCTTAGCTTTTTCTTATATACTACCTTAATAAGGCTAAAAACTAACTAGTTAAGTAGCTAGAGGATATAAAAGGTATATAAAGGTAAGAATAATAAATAAATATTATTAATATAATATAGCTATATAAACTTTATTATTATATAGCTTTTATACCTATCTAAAATAAGTAGTCTAGCCTAATTAGGCTAAGAGGGCTTAGTCTAAAAAAAAAAACCTTTTCTAACTATTTAATAGTAGTATTATTAGTAGTCTATTTATTTTTTATTACTATAAATTCTTATTTATTATATAGATTAAGATTAAAAAAGAACTACTACTACTAGACCTTTTTACTTTTATATATAACTAAAAAATAAAAAGTATTACCTTTAGTAAATATACACTTAATAATAAATACCTAGGCCTTTAATTTAAGCTACTTTTTCCTTACTATATATATTATAGCCCTACCTAACACTAGCCTATTATTACTTTTACCCTTAAGGATACTAGTCTTATTTATATTATATTTATTAGCTAGGTTAATAGCCTAGATATAAGGTATAGTAAGATATTTAAACTAGTCCTTAATAACCTTAGTAAATACCTTATTAATATATCTTAAATTAATAGATTAACTTCTTTAGACCTTAATAGATAGGTTCCTCCTAATAAAGCTATCTACCTATCTCTTGCCTATAGGTTAGGTATCCCCTATAGTATAAAAAATATAATAAGTAAAGTCCTTAAGTTATTAATAGGTTAGTAGCAGCCTAAGGTTAGCCTAGGTAGTTACCTAAGTAGCTAGGCTAGCCTCCTAAGTAGCTAATAGTTACTAAAGGTCTTTAAAAGTAACTAATTACTATTAGTAACTATTTATATAATACTAAAGTATTAATTATAGTACACCTTATTACTTAGAGGTAACCTAATAAAATACACTACTTATAATATTAGTAATTACCCCCTTAACCTTATCTTTAGTATATTAGACTATAGGGTATTAAAGAAGGTATTCTAAAAAAATAAAGTGATTTAATAAAAAATTAAAAATGTTGTAATAGTTTAAATTTAGAGGTTATCTAGAAAGTCGGTGGCTGGGAGGCATTTTTGGGGTGGGCTAAATGCAGGGGGGGGCCATAAGTGGGTGCTTTGACTTATTCTAAGAAATGACCTGCTTAGTTCCGTGATCTCCCACGAAAGCAGCAATTCCTCGTCCTGTATCCTCCTGCTTATATTAAATCGGGGGTACCGTTCCGGCCGGCGAGAAATGTGAAGCGAAAAGAGTCCACAATTGGACTTTTCGTTTCCTTTTTCTGCAGCTATAGGAACAACAGTATCCTCCAACAAGCCGCCGCAAGGGGGAGGTACAGCACTCCAGCGAGCCAAAGTCGACCTTTGCCGTTTTCGCACTTGACCAAGCGCCCTCGCCTTGCCGCCGAGGGACGAGGCATAGATGGAAAACGAGACGCAAGCCCGCACGGCTCTCGATCGACGAGACGGGGGACGCCGGAACCCCCAGATTTCTGTGAGTCCGGTGGGGCCGAGGCGGAGAGGGGCGGTTCTGCCGACCCCGCACGGAAGGCAACTCTATCACGACGCCGGACTTTTTGCACGAGTATTCGGACGACAGGGCTGAGACCAAAACGTTATCGAATGGAAATTGGACGAGCCGTGTTATTAATAGGACCGCCTCACAATGAGAAGCTTTGCCCGAAAAATAAACTCATCTTGGTGGTTACTAACTGTCTGTTTCTCCCCCCGTCTTTCTGGCGGGGGCAGTGTACGGAGGAAGAAGCGCTTGGCATTTTTTTAGGGGGAAAAGAAAAGAAGACTCCCTTGCGTCACTAGGTAGGGCCGTGCTCGCTTTGGATTTTCTTCCAATCTGTTGGCTGCCCGCTTTTCTCGTCAGCGAACGCTAAAGCTTTCAAATGGGCGCGTACGGCCCGGGACAAGGGGCTCGTCCAGCCCTTCTTTGTAAGATTCTTCGGGCCGTTCTCAGCCTCGAAATCGCCGGTTCTCTTGCCTCAACCTTACGGCTGTGAGCTGTTTCTCTTGGTTGTAGGTTTGAGAGAGTGTCGGGGAGCCGAACTCTGGAACGGAAGATTGACGTAGTGACGCTCTCCTGGAGAGCGCTGGGCTTGCCCAGCTCGAGAGGAATCTAGACCTGGGCAAGGCTGGCATTGTTCATCGATTCGCTAGAACCCGTTCTGTTAACCCCTTTCGCCCCTCTTTTGCAGTTAACTTAAGCTTTTGAAACGACACACGCTGTGGTATACGCCATCCAGCATGGCCGCCAAGAGGTCTATGTCATCTGTTTACGCACCCTGGGTAGGAACGACTTGATAGAGAGTCCAGTGCCTTATGTAAAGCCCGGAGCCGATTCGACGCCAGTTGTTTGTGAATTGCCGACTTACCCCGCCTTGCTGTTTGAAACCGCGTAGGGGCCACGTCTAACCGCCATCAATAACACTCGACAACGTGGCGCAGTGCGGTGTCGCGGCCTGCCGCGACACCACAAGGGTCTTTCGGCTTGGGTTGTGCCCAGAAGAAGATAACTCTGTTCTAGGGAAACTTTATCAAATAGCCTCATGGATGACTTCATACAGCTTGCGGGGGCCCCTTTTGATGTAGCGAGAGAGCTCGGGTTTAAAAGGTCAAGATCCAGCTTCCGTTGAACAGAGATTTGAAATTCGAAATCATCCAGTCTTCTGATCACTGGCGCTTCCATTACCAAATATCAAAAGCTCAAAGCGACGACACATCGTCTCAGTATCGTATCTCAGTCGCCTCGGACCCCCGAAAAGCAGTTGACTATAGCAAATATGACGCTCAAGGGAATCTCGCCCGTCATCTCGCCCGATCTCCTCAAGATCTTGGCTCAGATGGGCCAGGGCGACGAGATTGTTCTCGGCGACGCTCACTTCCCGGCGCACTCGCTCTGCCCGCCCCATGTGCCGATCCTCCGTGCCGATGGTAAGTCGAACCACCTTATTCCCAAGATAAGGACTGGCGGGAGACCAGAGAGGGGAAACTGAAAATGCTAACCCACGGAAACAGGTATCACCATCTCCCGCCTCCTGGCCGGCATCACCCCGCTCCTCGACCTAGACAACTCGGGCGTGCCGGTGGTCATGATTGAGCCTGCCAAGAACGACACCTACGACGCCAGCGTCGAGGACGACTTCCGCTTCTCCCTCAAATACGACGGCGAGGTCGCGAAGACGGACCGGGCCGCCTTCTATGGGCGCGCCAAGAAGGCCTACGCCATCGTGGTCACGGGGGAGAACCGGAAGTACAGCAGCGTCATCCTCAAGAAGGGCGCCAGCTCCCCGTACCCGAAGAGGAAGAGCAACCAGACGTCTCACCTCTGAGGCGTGGCGAATGTGCAACTTGTATGTGAGGGGGGATTGGGCCCGGTAACGTAGTGAGATATTGATGAGGGGGCCCAAAGGCAAGAAGAGGCCCATGGGGGTTTCTTGGGCTTGTGAATAGTTGCATGTTTACCTCCATCTTCTCTCTGCGTTATCGACTTAGCATTATAAACCTGGTACCCCATCACAACTGTTTTCTTACTTCCTTTAGTTAGGTAGTGTAACAGACAAAAAAAAGTCACATTCAGTCACATCAATCAGGGAAATGTTTTCCGATGACCGAGAAGTTAATTTCGCTTGAAGTCCCTTTAAACAAGTAATTGGCCAATCATATAAGGTCTGTTTCCAGTGATTAGACGAATCTATCATCAATTCTTCCGATTCGCGTGTTACTATAAAGTTCCAGAGTGCAGACTCGAAGGCCATTGTAGCTTCGTTTCCGGCGGCGATGCTATCCTTGTCCATATCAGCACGTACTTCCCCTGGTTGGCCAACTAACAAACCCCAATGACGGTACCCATTCCAAAACGTGCTGGGCTAGCAACGAATACTGCTGCGCAATGCCATTTCCAGGGAGATTCAGGTCGGACATCAAGCTCTGCGGCCCAGAGTAGCGAGCAACGCGAGGGTACGGTCGCTCGCGGAGGTGGCTTCTGGGTTCGATGCACCGTCGCGGTGTAATCAGCGCGTCCGATGGCCCATCAGCCGTCTCGGAGAGAAGGGGGAGGGGGACAAGGTACGCGCGCGCAGCCAGACACAAAAGACGCATGTGGCGTGTTTGGCCCAGAGGGTTTGGATCAGAAACCCAAGGTTCAAGACAAAACCAGGCTGGCACAGCTATTCGACTTGCCGTATTTGATATAGACAGAAACGGACGCCAAAAAAAAGATGATTCTCAGCCAAAAGAGGGGCATTCTTGCTGTTCCGACTGGTCACACAGTGCAAGTACTTTTTTCCCGCTGTTCGTACAATGAGTGGAAAAAAGTACAATGTAGGTATGTTTGTTTGTGCATGGAGCATGTCAGCTTCGTGAACCAACGTCGCATCGCAGTAAGCTCTGGAGGTACCTAGAGGTTCCACCAAAAATGCACAAATGGCGACGGGCCACAGTCGCTAAGCAGGACCTGGTCTTAGTGTAGTGGACGCTCGGCCACTGGGCCACGTTGCCGCGCAGACCACTGAGCGACCTGTCGTCGTCTGATCAGAGTTGAAGCAGTTGTGGATAACGAGGGGGAAACCTGGGGGGTCTGCTGTCAGTACGTAACAGAAACTGAGGTCAAATGATAGGTATGCGGGCCAACCTGTTTGTCGGTCGGGAGTTCTGCTCTCGTTGTCAATTTCACTCTCCCCAGAAACACATGGTCATCGTTCATCGTAGTGTGCTCGTATTTTTTGTCTTTCTAGGCGGCGCTGCTTTCCGGAACTCGCTAGGCATTGCTGCTGACGGCCACCGACCGACCAGGCAACGAAAAGCCCTCTTGGGCGGTTTGTAGTGGTGGGAGGGGGCGCTGAAGGAACGCTCGCTTGCGTCACCAATCACACGGCGACTGGGACGGTTCCCGTCGTAATGGAGAGGGCCAAGATGCAGTGGCTTCTCGGCGTATCCAATCCAGCCTTCACTCAAGCCGAATGCAAAGTCTTTGTTTTGGAACAAGCTTTTGGTCCCGGATGCCATGAAATGCCATGCGATGCCATGCGATGCCATGAGATGCAAAAGTCTTGGGCTTCTTGGGTTCCTTCAACGTCATGTCATCCACGTTGGCGCATCACGGAACGGGCTGTACAACGCGGGATTCCGCAACATACACGAACCCGCAGGGCTAATGCTAAGGTTTTTCTTAATGCCGGCCGAGTCAGTTTGAACTTGGCGGTGTCACCGGTCCCTTCCCAAAGCATCGCTAGGTCGATTCAGGTTGATGGAAGCTCTTGGCATCAGCGGTCGCGATGGGAAAGAAACCCCCAACGCACGCTGAGCATGGACAGCATTGTATGGATACGCGAGGCGTAAGGCAGTAAGCAAACAGGCCTTGGCTCATGTCAGTCAAGACACCTCTTTTTAGCAGTATGGCTGACCGGTAGCCGCATCGCCTTCAGCGTGATGATGATGCTCGGATGGCACGATGTGAGACAAAAGTTGGGCCGGGGCTTGACCGGATTGGGACCTGCCAGGTAGTGGGCGGAGATCGCGGTTGCCTACGTCTGGCGCGATGCGGACTCGATAAAGGTATCATGGTAGAAGCGAGCGACATGGTCGAGGACGGGCAGGTCCTAATTTGGGATCGGAGACAGATATCGCAACGAGACATGATGGGCTGCAAACGGCAACCAATACCGTCGTCACTGGGTCTCTCGTATGACACAGCCTCTGCCGTTCAACATCGTCGCTGAGAATTCGTTATCTTTGCCGAGACTCTGATCTCCATATATTCCGCCGGACGAGGGCGTGTTGTGTGTATCGCCGGCCAATTGTAGGCCACGGTGATGCACCACCCCTGGAGCGGGGACGGGCAAGGAGGAAGGCAGAAGGTGGGTAGACCCGGCGCTCCAACAGTGCAGCGGCCGTTTGGCGTTGGCGTTGGCGTTGGCGCTGGCGCTGGCGCTGGCGTTGGCGTTGGCGTTGGCGTTCGGGAACGTTGGGACGCGGCACAGCCCGGTTAGTTATGTCGCCCAGGTGGGCTGGGGGGGTCGGGTCGTTTAACCGACTCTTTTGAGAACTCAACCATAATACTACACATGTAAACCCCCATGTTGCTCTGACGGTAGATTGGCGGTGGTGGTTGGAACATGTTGATGAGTGGTGGGTTGACTGGCCATCGGGATATCGGGGTGCGGGAGGGAGGGGGAGACGCGGTAGCAGGCAGGTGATGGAGGCCTTCGTATGCGGCCAACCCTCCATGGTGTGGTTCGACAGTCTTGCGGTGGCATTCTAGAAAGGTTCTCTGGCAGCGTTAGTGGCTGCTCCCCTATCTCAGCGGCGTACATGGCAGGCCCCTGCAACGCCAAAAAAGACTCGCCGAAAATCAATCAGACGGGGTATGGCGGCCTTGTGACATCTGAACCTCAGCTCGCAGGGCAGAGCGAAGGGCCAAGAGGCGCAAACAGGCAGGAGAGGAGCTCGAGCTGGGTAACGGGCGTTGTGTTGCATTCAAGGATTCGGGTGAGATTGGGTCAGGCCCATGGGGGCAAATCGGCGGAATGCGAGACAAGACGCTGTGGGATTCAAGCAACTACGCCCAGGCTTGGGTCATTCCCGATGAGGAAGCTGGTCAAGACTCGGCTTGAATGTGCGGTGCAGCCAAGAGCCGCCAAAGAGACCAAGCCACGCAGCCCTGTTCCAGAAGAGCTTGGCCACAGTTCGGTAGCGCCGGGAGAGTGCGATGACATTGGCTGCGTGCGAGGTGGTGCAAGGTATTTCCTTTGGGTTGATATAGGTATTGGTGATCGTAGTGTGGTGAATAAACAATTTGGGCCTGGGGAAAGTATGTAAAATGAAAGGAAAGGACGAAAGGGCGTAGAGCACGAATGCCACCGAGGCAGCAGCTTGTACTCTAGGTACGTAACCAGGTACCTAGGTACCTAGAAACATGCATCGGTAAAATAAGGTCTTGAAGGTATGCAAGCCCGCCCGGGCCCTTCGCTTTTGGGTTTTGCGGGAAGGTGCCGTGGAGCCACAGTTCATCCCTTACCTACCTGGGCTTCTCCTCCTCACGCACGCACTCAATCGTCGCCAGTATTCATCAGTCCAACGAGGCATCAGCCGAAAGGACGCGTTTTGTACCCATCTCTATCTCTCGGGTCACACTCATTCACCATCTCTTGTCTTGCCACCTAGTCCCCAGCTCATCCCACCCTTGCTTGGATGGGACTTGCTGGTTCGTCACAACACCTTGCGTTGACCACTCTCGCCCCGTCGTTCACGCTGACCAGTTCGTCTTTCCGACATGCTGGAATCGTTCCCCTGCTGCCCATCGAAACACTCAATCCCAGGCCCAGCTTCCAGCTTCCGGCCCAAACTTTTGTTTCTCTTCTTTTCTCGCCAGGTCCAGGGTCCCAGTACCTACTACCATCGATCATGAGCGGGTTACATGGGAAGAGGGGCTAGGAGCAAAGACCAGAGGCCAGAGGAACGGCACCGTTCCCCACCCCCGCGCACCGCTACCGCTCCTCATCCAATATCTCCAAGTACCTACGGATACCACGTACATACTCTGGGCTGACACAATACAAATATTGCACCCATTTCCTGTCCTGCCGTCCAATAACCATCGGCCACCGAGCCAAGAAGTCCCCAAAGAGATGACCGGCTCCTCTAATCACTTGGCAAAGACGCGTCGACCATCTCCACCTTCTGATCCCAGAAAAACTACTGGCTTTGCCAAGCCGCCCGTGATGCTTTGGATGGGATAGATGGCCCGTGGTGATGAAAAGCCGCGGAGCGTCTCTCTCTCTCACTCTCCCTCGTTCTCGCTGGGCACCAATCGACGAGTGTCCGTCCGATTGCTGTACAGGTGGGTTGTCACTGACTCCGAGTCATGTGTAGTCGCATCGCACAGGCCGAGGATCTGCTTGCCAATCGTATGAATCCGCCACTTCCTTGCATTATTTGTCTTCCACGCAGCTTCCATTGCTTCTGAACTTCCAATCCAACATCTGCTATGCATAGCGCCATCTATGCATGTGCCTGTACAATGAAGGTGCGCAGCCACCCCCCCCCCCACCGCTCGTCTGCCGCCTTTCTCATCCACCCTCCCCTGCACTGCACCCTGTTCTGCTCCTTCGACGTCCCATTCCCTTCCGTTTTACGGGTCCACCGACTATTGCAATCGCCGCTTTGGCTATACCTGCCCAGGGCTCTATCATCTGTCTTGACCCTGACGTATCTTCCTACTCTACTTGAAGTATCTGAGTGCCAGAGGCCGAGTTATCCTATCATGGTGGTTTCCCGCATAACAAGCAGGCAGGAGAGGGGATAAAAGAAATTTTTTTTAAAAGAAAATTAAAAATAGGGAAAAATAGATATTGTCCAGGGCAGGGGCTCAGTGGGGGCGGGCCAGGCGCTGTTTCCCTTGGTTCGGCTATGTGCCTTTTCTAGTTCTAGTGTACTTTTAGTTTGAGGTAAGGCAACGGAAGGAAGGAATGATGACAGGGGAGGGGGCCACCACTAACCTTACCAGGGAGGGTGAGGGGGGGCCTGGTTAGTAGTAGTGTTGCCGCTTTCCATCCGTTGGATCGCTCCAGGTTGGTTAGTCTTCGCTCAGCCGTCCGTACCACCGTCCGCCAGAGGTGTACATCCCCTTCCCGTGTTAGTCATCCTCCCGTACCAGCAGATTCCTGCGATGGCACTGCCGTACCCCTACACCTTTGCCCAGCCTGGAGCGGGCGGCCATGGAGTATCGAGTCCAGCATTGAAGCATATCAGAAGAGCATGGGGGTGCAGCATTTGCGCACTTGCATATGCCACTGTCGTTCTCGCTACTGCGCTGCCTCCCTTAAACCTTGTCTGCCTAGGTAGGTAGGTAGGTAAGGTTGTGTACCTCACGTAAGTAGCTTCCTTGTCTCTGTCCCGAACCTTTATTAGATGGCATCCCACGGCGCACTTCTCTTCATCCCGTCTCTCCCTCCCTCTCTTGCCTCCTTACCCCTCATACTCTTGTAGTCCTTTACAGAGTGACACCAGACGCCTCCCCTCTTCCGTCGTCAACAAGGGCAAAGATCACGACAAGCGCCACCGCGCAAAGCTTCTTCTTCCTTTCCTTGTCGAATCATTATCCCGCTCCTGTCTTGAACTATCGAGCGACCTTCGCCATGTCCAAGGAGGATGCCCAGGTCGGCGTGGTCCCGCCCACGTACGACTCCGAAAAGGGTGCTCACGGCACCGTCGGCAGCAACGGTGTGCCCGACGACTTCCGCGAAGATGACTTCAGAACCCGAAATGGCCTGAACCTCCGCAGTTTCCAGCGACGTAAGGCTCCTTTTCTTCTCGATGATCGCTGATCTTGCCTTGGCAATCCCCGTGAGTTCCCCTAGCTAACATGCCCTATAGGTGACTGGGGTACTGGTACTACCGAGCTGGATCGCTCCATGAAGCCCCGCCACTTGCAAATGATTGCCATCGGCGGTTCCATTGGTGCTGGCTTCTTCGTTGGTTCTGGTAGCGCCCTTACCAAGGGTGGCCCTGGCTCTGTTCTCATCTGCTTCCTCATTGCCGGTGTCATGATCTTTAACGTCGTTTACGCTCTCGGCGAGCTTGCTGTCCTCTATCCTGTCTCTGGTGGTTTCTACACGTACTCTATCCGCTTCCTCGACCCTTCCTGGGGCTTCGCCATGGGCTGGAACTACGTATGTTTCTCTCAACACGCCTCCAAGATTGTACCCATCATCTCTAACAAGTCGCAGGTCTTCCAATGGGTCATCGTCTTACCACTTGAACTCACCGTCGCCTCCTTCACAGTACAGTATTGGAATAAGGATATTAGTGTAGCTGTCTGGATTACTGTCTTCTGGGTCTTCATCATCATCGTCAACGTCTTTGGAACTTTGGGCTTCGCTGAGGAGGAATTCTTCTCCTCGGCCTTCAAGCTCGTTGCTACCGTCGTCTTCATGGTCGTCGGCCTTGTTCTCATCTGTGGCGGTGGCCCTGAGGGCGGCAAGTACGACGAATACTGGGGAAACCGTCTCTGGAGCGACCCTGGTGCGTTCCAGAACGGTTTCCGTGGCTTCTGCTCTGTCTTCGTCACCGCTGCCTTTTCCTTTTCCGGTACCGAGCTCGTTGGTCTGGCCGCTGCCGAATCCAGCAACCCTGCAAAGGCTCTCCCCGGCGCAATCAAGCAGGTCTTCTGGCGTATAACCCTGTGAGTACCAAAACATACCACCACTCTGCCTTTCGTCTACTAACGTCAAACGCCAGCTTCTACATCCTGGGTCTTACTTTTGTCGGTCTCCTTGTCAGCTCTACCGATGAGCGTCTCCTTAACTCCGAAAACCCTTACGCTGATGGTGTTTCTCCCTTTGTCTTGGCCCCTCTTGACGCCCACCTTTACGGCTATGACAGCTTTATGAATGTCGTCATTCTTGTTTCTGTTGTCTCCATTGGTGTTTCTTGCGTCTACGGCGGCTCCCGTACCCTGACTGCCCTCGCCCAGCAGGGCTACGCCCCCAAGATCTTCACCTACATCGACAGGTCAGGCCGCCCTCTTCCTTCCGTTGCTCTGAACCTTGCCTTCGGTGGCTTGGCCTACGTCCGTATGGCATCATCTGGCGGTGTCGTCTTCGATTGGCTTCTTTCCCTCTCTGGTCTTGCCGCTCTCTTCACTTGGGGCTCTATTGTCGCAGCTCACATTCGTTTCCGTGCCGCATGGAAGGCTCAGGGCCACACTATCGATGAGCTCCCCTTCCAGGCCGTTGGAGGTGTCGCGGGCTCTTGGCTTGGACTCTTCCTGGTGTTCATCTGCCTGATAGCCCAGCTGTTCGTTGCCATCTGTCCCCCCAGCGGCGGCTTCGCCTCTGCTGAGGACTTTTTCAAGGCCTACCTTGCTGGCCCTGTCGTCCTCGTCTTTTGGCTCTGCGGTTATCTCTGGAAGCGCAAGGGTTTCCTGAAGCTCTCTCAGATCGACCTCGACACCGGTCGCCGCGAGGTTGACTGGGACGAGATCCATGCGTATCGCGCCAAGGTCGCCACCTGGCCCAAGTGGAGACAGTTCCTCAACACCGTCTTCTAATCGGCCAACATCTGTTTCTGCCGGGGTTCCCTGGCATAAATGAGGGGAAATAAATGTAGTGGTGCGTGTAAATAGGGGGTTATGTGTTGGGAAGCAGCCAGTGATTTCCCATCTTGTCCCGCTACCTTGATACCTATCTAAAGTTCTTGAACCTGTAATCAGCTACGATGCCTCAGCAAAGGCTTCAATACATTGGTCTACTGAGTTTCATGTTGTCCCTAGTCAATGAAACCCTATGGCTCCGCGGTTCCTCTACCCAGGCATGCCTAAGTCGTCAAGCATACTGCTATTTCGTACGAGAGTCTTGTCTTCACTGGCATAGGAAAGTGATTATCTTAGGGGAGGGTTGTTGAGATCTTTGGGTGGCTGTAACCAAAAGGTGGGGTTTCGGACTCCACGATCAGGTAGACACAGGGTAGTTCGTTCCCGTCGGGAAGTGGAGAGACATTGTATGAGTCTGATTGTCTCCATCATCATCAGGCTGAAGTTGACATGCGGCCTATAATTGGCCTCCGGGGCTTGTTCATCGAATAAGGAATTATCTTGAAAGAACACGACCAGAGCCGCCTTCTTTTCCTACAATATCACACAGTCTAGATATCATAAGCGGCAAATCAGCTATTACTGGCTCCCAATTGCAATTCCAAGACATCACAGGTGCTGCCATCTCGCGCGCCCGGACCTCAGAAATGGCCTCCCTGTCTGTTGTACCCGGTTGTACGAGAAAAAGCGACCCAGATAAAGAAAGACGTTTTCGAACGAGATTTCGTCCCAGCAAAAGAAGACGCACACTGGAGCTGGGTGGGGCATGAGAAGGCTAGGAGGTAGGATAGTTGGCAAACACATGAACCAACCCACGCTGCTGCACGTAACATCTGCCGCCAGTGCACCCAAAGCGCCCACAAACCAAGAGTGACTAACTAATGGATGGTCTAGACAAGCAAAAAAACTACATTTTCAAACACTGTTCAAGCTGGTCAGGGCTATAGCATCTCAAAAGTGGTGTCTATAAGCTTGGTGGTCAACAAATGCAATTAGTGATCTGTTTACTAAGTGGTATAGTTGTTGTTGCTGCATTTAACGCCCGGTACGTTCCTGAGAAGGACAAATGGCGCCCAGGGTAGCTCGTTTTGGAGAAATACACGATAATGCTCCAGCTCCAACCGTTCCATAGTCGCACCAGCCTATCGTCTAATATCCTCCGTCACCAACCATGTCTAGGAGTTTCAACTAAAGTGTACTGTCAATGCTGTTAAGTGCTAAAAGGCTCTTGAGCTACTAGGCTTCACGCAGCGCGTCCCTTTCTATCTGTAGTATATAACCTCAGGTAGGAAGGGGGTTCATGTGCTTGGTTGCACGGTGCCATTAGGGCATCTATGTCTTATAGTAGTTGACTTGCTATTTGTCTATATATAGTGTACAGTAACAAGAGTGTCTGTTCGGGTGCTCAGGAGGAGTAAGGTGTCAGTAGCTGTCTAGTTTGCACCAGACACTTCCGTCTGTTCCTATAGCCCGGGGGATGCCTTTGAAGAGGGTGCTATAGTTAAAGGTGAAGCCCGTGACAATGCTTCGCCTTCTGGTGGTCCGTCACATCTACCCAACAAGGGTCCGCAATCTAAGTGGTATAGTGTAATCTGTATAAGATTTAGTCTCTGATTTGCGCACGGCAATGAAGGTCAAAATGCATTTCAATCAAACCGCGAAAGTCTAGACAGGGCGAGAAAATCGTCAAAAGTAAGGTACTTCTCTCACGTACAGCTAGTCCGGGTCTTTCAAAAGTTAAGCATCTTGTGCGTGCGTTCCGCACGGGATCCATCTACTGCTGGCTTAGGCGTCATATGTTACCCCCCGTGTTGTACCACTAAAGCCTGGGCATCTCCGGGGCCAGCTCAACCTCGATAACGCTCTCCCTCGCGGACGGGATCCTCCAGATCTTGACGATCCTGAGGCCGGCCGACCTCACCAGGTCCTCCCACTCCTCCTCCGTGCGCTCCTTCGAGGCGGCAAAGTTCATCATGAGCATGTCGGCGACGGCAACGTACGGGTGGGCCGGGCCGCTAATGACGATTTCATGGATGAGGATCTTGCTGTACCCCGGCTTCATGGCTTCCTTCTGGTTCTCGAGGATCTCGAGGGCCTGCTTGTCGGGCCAGTCGTGGAGGATGTGGTGCATGTAGTAGGCGCGCGCGTCTGTGTCGTTCTCAGTCAGCTTTCAATGCGTGGCAAGAGAACAGAACAATTGAAAAAGAGAGAGAAAAAGAAGGAGGGGAGGGGAGCTGCTGTGTTTGGAGATTCGCATACGCTTAATCGGCTGAGGAGTAAAAAAGTCGTAGGGGATCCTATGGACGCCCTGGGCGACGGTGGAGTTCACGTCCTCGATCACCGTGGGGACGTCCTCGAGGTACACCCTGGAGGCGGTCCCTGGGTGCCGCTTGAGGAAGCATTGGACGTCCTGCCCGATGCTCCCGCCCACATCAACGAGGATGGGTAGCCGTGTGTCGATGTCATGCAGCAGCTCGTCGCTCGGGTAGATGGACGTCCACCGGGCTAGCGCATTCGTCCCGCTCCTCTGCGCGATGTTAAAGACCTCTCCAGAGCGCGGGTTCTTCTCGAGGTAGCTGAACAACCCGCCCTCGACGCCAAAAGTCAAGTCGAAGACGGTTCGCCGGCTGTTAGAGGGGTTCTGGTAACCCGTCTCAGCGAAGTAGGCCGGCATTTTGAGGCACATCGGGAGGTAGTAGTCATCACTGCAAATCGACTTTTAGCGAGACTGGGTCCTGTAAAGAAAGACACGCCAAGAAAGAAAAGGAGAGGGAGGAGACATGGCTTACTAGAACTTGATTGCGGTGTCAAAGTCCGACTCGGCGAGCTTCATGCAGAACCTGCCAGGCTTGTATTTACCATCGGAGGTCCTCTCAACCAGGTGGTTTGCGACCAGAAGACGGAGCAGACGATCTAAACAAGGTCAGAATCACGATATGTTTTCCCCGGGAAAGCCAATCCACTCACGGAGAAGAGCTGGATCGAAGCCGTCAGTCAGGCCCGCGAGCTCGACGTCAGTCATTGGCGAGTTTCCATTCTGTCGCCATCGCTCAAAGAGTCGCACGTCTCTGAGCACTCTCAGGGCACCTGGCACGGTAGGCTAATTACACTCGGGGGTTAGGTTGGGGATGGACACAAAGATTTCATCAAATCACGCCCCGCGACAACGGAAACGACCCTTACCTGGTTCGTGTATATCCTCATAAAAGTGTCCCAGGGAGACTCCGCTTTGCTGACAAGCTCATACAGCTTCATAAGTACTCTGTTCCTATCGGCTGTGCTCATGATAGATTCTTCGATCCCGGTTGCAGCTTCCAGGAAAGCGTGGACAGCGTCCGATGATGTATCAGCTTCCGAGGCCATGTTCAAGTTTGGTCTGCTTCGTGGGTTCGACCAGGGCGCCAATTCTCTGTAGCACTAAGTATACTGGCGGTATGTAAATTTTTGTGATGAATAAACTGGATGTCTCTGCAATAAACAACAGTAGACAGACGCGCTATTAGATTTATTAACAACCGGTAGACGGGTAGGTTTGGGGGGGTAGGAGGAGGCTTTATAACTTGTAAGTCCCGCAGCGTTGTTTTGCACTGGTTTACATCTTCCGAGAGCTTGAAATCGAAACTATGCTCCCCCTCCAAAAAAAACTTAAACCCCTCTCATGACCGGCCCGTCATTGCTTGGCAACAAGAAGGGCGTATTAAGTGGGATTCGGCAATCTAACGGGCGGGACAGGTTTTACGGAGGCTGAAGGTCTGTACACGTAATGTCCTAGGCCTCATTTTCTTTTAGCAAAGTTCAACGAACCGAGTATCAATGCTAAACCCTATTCTTTTATACTTAACAAACCCCGCCTTGTCGTGCTTTAAACTCAGATGTCCGAAAGTCTGTAACAAATGCGGGGCCAAGTGCTGCTCTGTGGTCCCCCGCCCGCCTGCGGCTCCCTTGTCAGGGATCACGAATTCTTCGGAACGGCAGCGGGGCTAGCGGGGACAGCGGGGTTGAGTAGAAAACGCCGATGAAGCCTTCCGGTGAGAACCCGAACACCCAAGATGTTAAGTCGAGTAATAGCAAACCTAGTACAATTGCATCGGCATTTCGTAGAGGCGTTGATTGACAGTCGGGCCTGACTACGCTGGCAATTAATTGCTTTCGCGAGTCTTTTGATTAATGACAGGCGTCACGGATACGTTAGGGAATTGTCTTCCCCTGCTCTGCCGTACAACCTGGCACGATTAATTATAGATAGATGTGCTCTCACGAGCTGAGGCATATAGCAAATAGGGATTGTAATAAAGTCACAGAGAAGCTTGATTAAAAGCAATGGGTTTCTATAAGTAAGGGCCCATAGAAATATAAGTGCTAAGGTTAGTTGGGTGACATTACACATAACGTGGCTAATACCACCCACTACACCAGCATGAGCCTCCTCTGATATACGGCCACTATGAGGATGATCTTCAAAGTATTGCGGAAAATGTTGTACTATGCGAACATGTGTCGCAGGTTATAACCTTGTCAATTACAATACTTCCATACCTGGAACGAGCATAGTGCAGTCAGAGGTGGTACATCTGACAACACGATGGAGGCATCTACCGAAACAAAGTGGCTTCCTTATAACGCCAATATTACTTCTAATATATGTTTTGATAGTTGTATTAGGGGTCGTAGGATATGGAACCTCGACAACAGTTATTTAACAGGGTATATCAGCCTCCTGTAGGCTAGCGAGGCTACTTCTAATTACAGAAAGAAAAAGGAAGAAAGAATACCTTCACTCGTTCTTCGACACCCTTGTCAAACGTTCGCGGGGGAGAGAATTCTAGTCCCTCGTCCTTGACGTCTTGTTCTTTCCACATCGACGACAGTGCTTGTAGAACAACGTACGGCATCTTTGGGAGTAGCTGGTACAAGAGTGCCCTTGCCAAAACTTGCAGAACTTTCTGCTCTTACGAGCCAAGGCTCCGTAAAAGTAGCTGGCGGTGTAGCATGGCTTATCTCTGGACCATGTCAAAACGAGCTCACTCGTGGTGCTGGCGTCGCCGATGAACCTCATCATGTTCGATTCATTGCTCCTGGTCTTATCAAATAGCGCCAATAGAGACTGGAACCTTCTTTGAGTCACACTGAAAGGTCGTCCACGTGGCCCTGCTGTCCTTACCCAACGCAAGGCCGAGGTGTGCGACTCCTTGATACTGTCCATTCTCTCGTTTAGCTTACGGAACCGTTTTCCGTCGATTACCATGTTATCGCGCATCTTGTCCCATGTCGAGTCAGCCTCTCTAAGATGACGCTGGGATGATGAGTCTCATCGCCCTTTCAATCGAAATCCCCGTCCAGACAGAGATGCCTGTCTACTTGCTTGGCTTCAAATAGCGTTCCGAGTGCAAGAACAATGCCTTCAATATTCCAATAATAAAGCAGGCCAGTTCCGAGGCGAGGTTTTGAAACAGGTCTTTGTCGTAAACAACTCAGCGAGACTTTTTCTGGAGCCAGTCTGCTGAGAATAGCTACCCTTGGCCTATCATGTACAACAGTTCTCGAGTTCCTACAGGAAACTCCCAAAACTTGATGCGTTGACCATGGAGCTCTTTCTGGAAATCACAACGTCGTTAGAGGTGCCCGGTTTTAGGCCGCAAACTCTATACCTAGTCTTGAGCTCGTTGCCGTCGCTCATGAGTCGCTGAATGGAGGCCAGCACATGGGCGACAAGCTATTTTGTCTTCGACTTATCCAGGAGTCTGTCGTAGTCCTCCTCGGCGAGTCTAATATCTTGTGCCCAGTGCAAGAGGAGGACCTTTTCGAAGTCATGCTTCGTCATCAGCAAAGTTACGTCTTACTAAAGCGCCTTAGTGGCCGCAAACATCTCAATAGGTTAATAACGTCATCATAGTACCTATATAATCCCAGCAAGCCCTAATATGCCAATTATAAGACCAGCAATCCTCCGCGTTGTATTACTCTTTAAGTAATATAGTGTAAGAAGCTGTCCAATGTGGCAGAAGTACACGTAAATTAACCGGCGAATACACAGTTGCCCTACAGCAAATTATTAAGGAATAGACAGTAAAATAGCCCTACTTTATAGGTAATCTTACGAATTATATAGCTGGGATTAGCCTAATTTTACTAGAGACATACAATATATATCATAATATAATTAATTAACTATTATAATCCCTATAATTTAATAACTATATGATTCTATAATAGTTTCCCTCTTTACGTATAATTTAGAACTAGTATTTACACCTATTATATATTAAATACCTGTTAATATATACAGTTAACTGTATTACTACCTTGGTAAAACCAATAAAGGTAATACTTAAAAAAATAGACTAAGAGTTAAGCGTTGTTAATAATAGATAAATAAACTCTTATAAGAACTTTTCCCCCTATCTTATTAAACTAGCTAGTTTGCATGCAGTGTATAGAACGTACTATTGTCTTGCGTAGCTAGGATAGAGATTAAGAGGGATTAAGGGCCTGAATTGTTACATCCTAGACGTGTTCCTTAGGCCAAGACATCCTGGAAATGTAATTTAAGACCTGATTTAGCTAAATAAACTGATCTCTAAATCTATGTCGTGACAGTACTTGAGTGCAGTTGTAGAAGTGACAACTGTGGTTCTATGGTTTCACTTTGGCCATCACAACTTGCATGGCTAGGCACAAAAAGCAAATCACAACCAGGTTCACCGACGCTCAGACATCCCAGCGCAGCCAGGGTGAGACCTGCAACTCAGAGATCTGTGCCATAGGAATCAGGTCGTGATTTGGCATGTCATTGGTACGGCATGATAGCTGAAGGAGCTCCTAGGTGTTGGTAGAGGATCGAAATAAAGAGACGTAATAAACAACAGAAATAACAAACAAATGGCATAAGCAAAGGGATTTGTGGGCAACAATAGCCTATAAAGGTTACTCTTCATGGGGGTAGTCTTGGAGGACGTTAACTATATACTTGATAGACATCCTGCCTGTTACAACTGCCTCGGCGTCAGGTGAACCATAAGCGGCGGCTTGGTCCAGACAGTGTAGCAGGACTGGTCTTCAAGCCAGCCGCGGGACCCCTCGTCGAGGCGCAGGTCGAATGTCCAGACGATGCGGGCCAGTATCATACGCATCTCAGCGTAGGCGAGGTTCATGCCGAGGCAGTTGCGGGGGCCTATGTGGAAAGGTTTGAAGGCGTCAAGGCTGTCGCTGGCGAAAGCCGGGTCGCCGAGCCAGCGCTCTGGGTGGAACTCAAAGGGCCGAGAGAAGTATTTTTCGTTGTGGTATAGGGCCCATTGAACAATGCCGACTGATGTCTGCGGTCTTGCGCGTTAGCAGGGAACAGCAGGGTTTCTTTTCAAGGCTGAGAAGCTGCGATGGCACTTACATCGCCCGGGACCCATTGTCCAAGAATATTGGCCCCTCCTCGGGGCGTCCGCCGCGTTAAGCTAGCAGGGATAGGTGGGTAGACCCTCAAGGTCTCCTCAATGACCGCGTGGAGGTAGCTGAGCTTGGCGGTGCTTAGGAGGTCAATCTCGTCCTCGCTTGCGAAGCTGCTGCGGACCTCTTCACACAGGCGAGCAAAGACTTTGGGGTGGGTAGCCAGGTTGTAGGTGGCGCCAGAGAGCGCTGTGGCAGTTGTTTCAGAGCCGGCAATAATAAGAATGCCTGTAGTCTTGTATATCTCATCCTTGGTCATGGGCTGCGGAAGGGAGATAAGTCAGTCACTGTTTTCAGTTCTTCCTTCACTCTTTTGTTTCTTAGCATGCTAGGAGACACTTACTTCACTTCCCTTTCTCAGCATAGACTCAGCAAAGTCAGGCCGAGGCGTACCAAGCGCTATCCGCTGGTCGACCTTTGCGCGGACGAAGGCGTAGTGCGCCGTGCCCTTCTCAACAAGGCTCTTAGATAAAACCATCGTGAATAGTGGCTCAAGGGCCCGAAAGCTCCGGGCAAGGTTCTGTAGGGTTACCAATTTAACGTTTTGGAAGACGGATCGGATCCAGGGGTGGTATTCAGAGTTTGCAAGGCAACCAAAGGACTCGCCAAAGGAGAGGTCGCCAATAACATCAAACGTAGTAAAGTTATACCACGCCACCATATCAATAGGGCCTTTACCAGCGAGTCCGCGGAGGCGTTCAATAAGTAGGTTAACATAGTCCTTAATAAGGGGCTGCTGCTCCTGCATGCTTTTAGCAGAGAAGCCATGGGAGAGGGCACGCCGGTAGCGGGCGTGATCGTGGCGGCCGGCTGTGATAATATTGATGTTGTCAGGGTTAAGTCTGTCCGGGTCCTTCTCGTTCTCCTCCGACCCACCGCTGCGGTGGCCCATGATGTCCTTCCACGCGCCAGGGTGCTGGAAGGAGAGCTCGTTGGGGGAGACGCGGACAACGTCGGCATTATAGCGCTTGTGGAGAGCAAGGATGGTCTTGGGCTCGTCACCGCGGAAAACCATGAGGGCATAGGGGATGCGGGTTGCAGCCCAAAGCTTGGGGCCGGGGTACTTGCTGAGGGGGTGGAGGGTGACATTATAGAGCATCCAAAGCAGGAGGCCGGCGACGCCCTGGCGGGTGACTTTAGTAAGACACTTTTTGAACCGGTTCACACATGAAGGGCGACGGGGGATCGTTATGTATGAGAGGACATGGGAGAGGACTAACCAGCGAGACTGTTGCCAAGGGCAAGAGAACGAAGCCTGGGAGCCTCGATTCCCCGAATTGGATCTCCATCATCAATGGAGTTGTATTAATAAGTGGTCCCGTGCGACTTTGGTGATCAAAAGGGAGGGGGGAGTAGGTCGACAGGAAATCAATTTACAGATCAAAGAGTCTTCACGGAAGTCCTTGGGGTTCCGGAGGAAAAATGAAAAACTCTTGAGGCAGAATACAATGGTGACAACTGGGAAGGGGGTGGCTGTCGAAGCTTTATTTGTTCTGACATTGGCCGTATTCAAGAGCGGTTATAGCTCCAAAACCTTCTACACGCCGCAGTGGGCAAGGGATACGGTCTCGGCCAAGTTGGCAGGTCCCGAACCCCCCTTAACGGAGTTCACGGAACCTAAGGTGCGTAAAACTCCGTTAATTATGTAACACTGCAGTGGAACCTGGGCATTTGGCCCAGCAATGTATCCGTACTGCCGAAACTATTGCATCATAGGTCTCTGGTACGCTCCCGTGTGGGCTGTCGTATTGCTGCGGAGCATGATCAACACTACCTAAACCTGTGATCGGCGCGGAGGAGCATTAGGGGACGGAGGGCCGACCATGAGCCGGTGCAACCCACCCATGGCTTCTGACATGCAATGCTGTCTGTAAGTTATTATGGACCGAGTGGAGGCCAAAACATGCCGGTCGGAAAATAACGATCGGGTTTCGGCGGCCACTAGGCTTCTTTCGCCACTCAGTACGGATACTCCGTAAAGCTTGTGAGTATCCGTACGGATACACTAGACTCATAACAGCGACGTGTTAATTAGCTAATCACTGCCAAGTGAACCCTCTAAGATGTACAATTACCACTCGTACCCGTCACCGCCTTCCTAGTATGGCAGCTATGCCTGTACTGAAAATACTGTCTAGCTTAGATAACGCGCTGTGGAGTCTCGAAAACGCACAGGGGTAAGGCAGTTATATAGATTTTGGCCCTGTTCAGGCTAGAAAAAGTGCTCCTTATCTAGGCCTATGTATGCAACATGTGGACAACGAAGAACGTTCTACGAGGAGAAACTCCGCTGATGGAAAAAGGTGCCTGAAACAACTTAGCGGCAGCATAAAATCAGTTTCTGACTAATTTCTGGCCCGGGGCTATCCAAGTCGGCATCTTAATTAAGTTCAATCCGAGGGTTGCCGTTACCAAGCCTACTGATTTGTAGGTAATATGCTGATCAAACCTACATATTATAGGGCAGCGCTTCAGTCATTAAAGTACCTCTCAAAGTCTCTCGCACAGACCTCTACACAGACTAGCTTACCCTTTTACTAAGAAAACAAAAAGATAACAGAGATATCTCTATTAGCTTAATGTGCATCTGGAATATAATAGTATAAATTAACTTTTTAGATAAATTTACCTCTAGGGACCTTTTCTATAAAATACAGTAGCTAAGAGGCTTTATATATACTATTAGAAAAGCTCTTTTTTTTTTCTCTGACTTAGGAGTTAAGGATTTGAAGTTGGTGGTGTGGAGACAGCAGAAGTGACTTAAGAGGAGGTGGGTCAGTACTTTGAGATAGGTAGTCTGAGACTGTGGGGGCCCCAATGGCCCACATTATGCTAGGTAATGGCAACCGATCCGAGCAAGCAATCGGGGCCTTAAAAACCCCCGATCCCGCAGTGCCGCCAGCCAGGGGCTGTACTTAACCACGACTGACACATCGTCATTGGGTCTGTATCTTTTCTACAAACATGATTTGCCGGCTCACTTAACCGCCCTCATGCACGCAGGCCGGTTTTTCCCCCATCTCAGTGTCTTCGAACCCACCACATTCTCATCAGCAAATAAGACCGTCTAGATTCGTTTGATTAACAGAATAAATAGCAAGCCAATCATAAGGTTACCAAGGTTGACCTCAGCTATAGTGTTAAAGGAACCTCTACTGTCTGGTCACAGAGTGTAATATCAGGTAGGCGTGTTCTCTAGAGAAGGTACGCTATATAGGCAGGTTAGTAATGCATTAGATATAGTGTCATAATATTAAAGTTCTTAGTTATCTTTGTCTTAGGCTATACTAATTATGATCAAAGGCGTCATAGCTCTTCCGTTCACTTTTTGTATATTTGTACTGAATCACATTGTCAAAGCTATAAAAGATCAGTAGGGCAACTATGATTCGTTATCTGTAGTACACGCTCTGTCCCCTTATATATATTGGCCACTTTGTCAGATATGTATTCATCAGGCATACCTCTCCTGCTCTCCATCCACAACCCTTCTACAGCCATCGCATACCGCTGACCCTTATTCCGGGAGGTGTGCAAAAAGCTGCACCCCAACCTCAACTATCACCTACCTTGGAACATTACCTCTACGAAGCTGGGAAACATGGGCCGGACAGCTCGCACCTCACCGCTGTCGCCTGAAATCCCCTAGAGGCGGGCACGTACACATTCCGATGGACTCGCCGCGGCGGCCCCTGGTGCGAGGTCCTCCGGAAGAGCGCCAAATACAGCGTCACTTTGCACGACTGCGGCAAAATCTTCGAGTCTGTCATGGCCGACGGGGCCACCACGCCTAAATATGGTGTCACAAGTTAGAATACACAGCAGGGCATATAACATATAAGAATAATGATAAAAGACTCAATTCTATAACACCGGAATGAGCAAAGGGTGCTCCTATACATAGGCCCTTAGTACGAGGAACAACTGAAACATCACGTGGATGAGCACATAACGATACAGTTATGTGAAGCTATCGTGACATATGGGGAGGGATCGTACATTGGTTTTCTACAACTATTGATGACCGGCTCGAGTAGTAGAAGACCAATGGGATCCTGCTACAAAACCGCTAATGTGTAGTGTCGCAGACTCACGCTGCTGCGGTGGAGAGTTGTCGGGCTACTCTTGACGAGGTGGAGGCCAACATAACTACCGAAAATATGCTCGTGTCGTACTTGAACGACGTCATCTTCCCCGAAGCTACTCGGAAAGAGATATCTGCTCTAGTTAATACATACCCGTACAACAACGGCACGGCCGGCAGTCCATTTGGCGCCGGCACAATGAACCAAGCATGCCCTCAATTCAAGCGGTTGGCGGCCATACTCGGCGATGTCTTCTTCACCCTCATGCGACGGGCTTTCCTGGATATGTTACCCGCTTCCATGTCCGCGTGGTCTTTCCAAGCTGCCTTTGAGCGTGGAACACCAATCCTGGGGACCTTCTACACATCGGACTTGCCACGCATATTCTACAGCAATGATGACGCTAGCTGAGCGATGCAGGATCGATATATCGCCTTCGTGACCTCGCTCGACCCCAACAGCGGAATCTCCGGTTCTGCCGGCTATAGAACTTCCTGGCCAAAGTGGCAAGAGTCGCAACAACTACTCGAATTCGGACCTAACTCAACCCGGCTCACTCCTGACGACTTTAGGGCATCAAGCTTCGAGTACATCCAGGCGAACTTGGACAACTTCCATCAATAGTCCCACATCCTGGAGTAACACCGTTCTGACATCTCAGCTACCTCAATTGTAGTACTGAGATAATGTCACAAGTTAGAGCATACAACAGGGCATGTAAGAATAGGAGTAAGAAAGGCTTATTCCTCTAGAAGTAGAGATGTGAAGAAAGAATCCTATATATACAAGAGTATCACAGGAGGCTCATGTCTGTGTGGCGGATACCGTCAGCCACACCACGTGCTATGTCACATGGACAAGCTTGAGGGCCCCCTTTATATAGGCCCTCCACCTGTGGGATTCTTCTTCCCATAATACAAGCCTTTTCTTTATTTATTTGTATAACCCTATCTGCTGTGTGCTCAAGCTTGTAACAGTTATAAGCCTAGGACATCTACTGCTGTTATGCCTTAATAGTACAGGCGCAGTATTACGTCTGAGCGTCATAGACCTTGTGGGTTCAATTCCTATTGACACCTCCTTACGTTTTCCGCGTTATAGGTTAGACTGAACTACCTAGACTTTGGCGAGATGTACCTAATTAGAAGGTCTGATATTGGTAAGAGTTGCAGATCCGCCCTAGGAATAGTACGAATCTGAGGGGGTGTGTTACAGGACATATTAGGCGTTAATTACTGCCCGTGATTAACGGCGTCGTTTTTGCTACAAAGAGTTATGTGAGTAATGAGTGAAACAACGTGCTATATGGCACCTGGCAGTTGCTGTAGAAAGCTATTGTGACATATAGTCAGGATATATACTTGGATTTAGCCTGTGCAAAGAAGCCACATCCCACTTGAGTGCCCTTTCAGAGAGCTCCTAAGCGTGAATGAAGGCAATCGATCAAGTAAAAGCTAAGAAGGGTGTTGGGGTTATTGAAAGAGATATAGGCTGCTAAAGGTCGTCCCTCGAATGAAACACCCAGTAAGTAACTGTAGGTGATTTACTGGGATATATATTTTACTGTGTCTACGAGACTGTATGGGAGTTTGGAAACAATGCTCGGAGAAAGAAACTTAGCGTCTACGCTGTTTATTGATAGCCGCTATGACGCCAGTTTTCTTCTATAAGTTTACCATGTCTATCCATGTGTTCAATGATGCAGTGTTCAGATAATGGCCCCATGAACTCGCTTAACCTTCATCTTGCACTGTGTGCACTAGTAATTCTGATCCTAGACTACAGTCATAACGTACTCGCCGTAGGCTGAATATTAGCTTTCCGCTTTCACCCCGCAATATCCCCAAAAGCACCATTACCTGGGGATCGTGCCCAAAAATGTGGTTGAGATACTGGTGAAACGGCCTGACATAGTCCTCCGTGGTGCTCCCACCAAAGTCGACGGCCTCTGGATGGGACAAGGAGCCTATTCAAAATCCTCTGGGGGCAGCCGCAGCCCCCTCACCTCTCGTGCACTAGCAGCCGATTGATAACACAAATCTGGTGATGTCTTTTCAGAGGGTCCTTATCTGCGCCCGATCTCAACTATCAGGCCCCGCATCGGACCGTCCGACACGTGCCCATCCTTGAGAGGCGGGGCTTTGGGCGGGCGCCGACAACGATAGCCCCACGACGGTTGGATTGCTGCACATAGAGACAGGATCGCCAAAGTTGTTAAAAGAGCGTCAGCTCAGATTCTCTCACCTTTATCTCTTCATGTTGAGGTGATCACTAGCAAATAGGAATTTTACACTAGTAGGAAAGACGACCATGACGGCCAGGCTCGAAGACTTCACCAACCCGCTGTGGCTCAGCAAATTGCAAGAGTCTCAGGAGCTCGTCCTCGCTCTTACAGCTTTGGCAGTCGCAGGGCTGACCTATCTCATCTATAATGTTAGTTTGGCCTTGCTCGCATGAGATACTGAGCAAATATTCTTACCATGACAATAGGTCGCCTTCAAGACAGACATTTCCTACATCAAAGGCCTGCCAGAGATCCCTGGGGCGCTGCCCGTCTTTGGTCACTTGTTACAGCTCGGCCAAGACCACGCCACTGTGTGCGAGAAATGGTGGCGCCAGTACAACCAGTCCGTCTATCAGATCAAGCTGGGCAACACGCGTGCCGTTGTGGTCAACTCGTTTGAGGACTGCAAGAAGATGCTGCTCGGAAACCAGAACGCCGTCATTGACAGGCCCACACTCTACACCTTTCATGGAGTCATCAGCAGCACACAGGGCTTCACCATCGGCTCGTCTCCATGGGATGAGTCGTGCAAGAAGAAGCGCAAGGCCGCAGGCACTGCGCTAGGAAGGGCGTCTCTGCGCAACTATCACCCCATGTTCGACCTGGAAAGCTACTGCATCCTCCGGGACCTGAAGAGAGATAGCCAGAACGGCGCTCTTGAAATCAGTGTTCGGCCCTACATTCAGCGGTATGCGCTCAACACGACCCTCACCCTGTGCTACGGCATTCGCATGGACGCAGTGTACGACGAACTCCTCCGGGAGATTCTGTACGTCGGTTCGGCCATCTCCCTACTTCGCAGCGCGTCGGAGAACATGCAGGATTATGTACCTATCATGCGATATTTCCCCAACAACGAGAAGAACAAGCGGTCCAAGGAACTCCGCGACCGTCGCGACACGTACCTCAACCTGTTGTTGGACAAGGTCCGCGAAATGATCAAGCTTGGCACCGATAAGCCTTGCATTTCCGCCGCCATTCTCAAGGACGAGGAAACGAAGCTCACGGGTGTCGAAGTGTCCTCCATCTGTCTGTCACTTGTCTCGGGCGGTTTCGAGACGATCCCGGGAACGCTGACGTCGGCTATCGGATCTCTCAGCACCCCCGAGGGCCAGATCTGGCAGGACCGCGCGTACGAGGACATCAAGCGGTATTACCCGGACATGCGCGAAGCCTGGTCTTCCAGCATCTCCGAAGAAAAGGTCCCTTATCTCAATGCCATTATAAAGGAGGCCGGTCGGTTTTACACCGTCAGCGCCATGAGCCTGCCTCGCAAGACCGTTACAGAGGTGAATTGGAACGGGGCCAAGATCCCGGCCAAGACGATGATTCTCATCAACGCCCAAGCCGGAAACCACGGTGAGCCCAAATGTTTCTTTTCTTTCTCTATCCGAAGCTAATCCGTGACCCAGATGTCGACCATTTTGGCCCTGATGCCGGCAAGTTTGACCCGGAGCGCTGGTTGTCCTCCTTGGACCCCCCAACCGAGCGCGAGTCCGTCGGGCTAAACCACCTCAGCTTCGGCGCCGGCTCGCGTGCATGTTCGGGTCAGCACATTGCGCACCGCCTTCTGTACACGGCGCTGCTGAGGCTCCTCGCGTCGTACAAGATTGTGGCAAGCGAGGCGGAACAGCCCAACACGGACTACGTTGACTACAATCAGTGCAAGTCGGCGCTGGTGGCGATTCCACGCAACTTCAAGGTGAAGCTCGTACCAAGGGATGTTGATGTAACGGAGGAGTGTTTGAGGCTAGCAGAGGAGAGGACGAGAGATCACTACAAGGAGTAAGGGACCTCAATGAATGCTCTCGAGAGTTGCAAGGTAAAAAGCGATGATGACCTCAAATAACCGGCGGTAGCCTGGGAGAAAGGTCGCATAATACGGGAGCTTGACTTATGTTATATCTTGCACCAACGGTTGGGATAAAATCGAACAACAAGTTACAAGATCTCATAACATCTCTTGGAAGTTTAGTGCGCCAACCATGATATCAACATGCTTTAAGTGAGGGGATGGCCTGGCCGAGAATGGCACCTAAAAACCCCGGCGCCGCATGTTTGAGCGGTAGCCAAAACCCTATGATTGATATGTCGGCAGCTCCGACAGTTGAAATAGCTAATGATAAAAGCCCGCAAGCAATCAGCGGGCACTGTACATAGTTCAACTCTAAACTAGACATAATCTACTTACAATAATCCCTTAAACAAACAAAGCATAAACCACTAAATCATGGCTTCACTCGAGGTCTCCCAGTTATTTGGCGTCAATGGGTACGTCGCCGTTGTGACAGGCGGAAGCAGTGGCCTCGGATACATGATCTGCAAGGTAAAGAAACCCCACGGGCACACCCGCCTGCCCCATCACATTGCTGACCATCATAGGGACTCGTGGTCAACGGCGCCAAGGTGTATCTCGTAGCACTTCCCTCTGAGCCCATTGACGATAAGGTCGCAGAGCTCAATGATCTTGGTAAAGCCTCTGGAGGGAGCGCAGTCGGGTAATTAACTAGTCATCCCCCTCCCCCTCTCGCAATAGTCGCTGAATGCCATACCCAGATACGCCTGCGACGTTTCATCCAAAGAGGCCGTCTCCGGTCTCGCGGCATTTGTCTCGCAGCGCGAATCTCATCTTGATATTCTTGTGTCCAACGCCGGTATCCGCCGTGACCCTGTCATTCCCTGCGATGTCACGTCTGCCTCCCTCGCGGAGCTGCAAGCCTCAATGTGGTCACACCGGCAATCCGACTGGGCCGACACCTTCAGCATCAACACCGCGGCGCACTACTTCCTCTCCGTGGCCTTCATAACTCTCCTGGCAGCAGCGTCGCAGCGCAACGTGAGGGCCGGGGTCAAGGGCAGCAGTGAGGGCAGAGGCGTCGTGGTTGTGACGAGCTCGTGTGCGAGTATGCACAATGCGACCAATGTCGACATGTCAAGCTATGCAACGAGCAAGGCGGCGACTGACCACCTGGTCAGGCTTTTGGCGGCTAAGTTTGGGCGGTGGTACATCCGTGTTAATGGCATCAACCTTGGCTGTAAATCCTTCCCCTTTCCTGTGACCCCCAGGTGCCCGGCGACTGACGGCTTTCAGTTGTGCCAAGCAAGATGAACACCGTGGGAGAAGAGGGCAACATGTTTGCCAATCTCTTTGATCAAGTCCCTGCCAAAAGGGCAGGCAGCGAGGAAGACATTGCGGGCGCAGTGCTGTACCTAGCGAGTCGGGCTGGGGTGAGTCTTGAGAAATCCAATGATGGCCTGGAGAAAAATAAAGTGGCTGACAAGAAGTCGTACAGGCATACATCGATGGGGTTAATCTGTGTGTGGATGGAGGGCGTATCTTGGTGGCGAACGGACAGACATAGTATTAGTGTGCCTAGCATTCAAATTGTGAGACTTATTGAAACACATCACTCGCTCATGCGAACCCCAGCCAATGGTCACCTTCTATCTGCGCATATCTCCCACATTTACCTAACGACATATACGCAGCGAGAGCTGTACTAAAGATGAAGCCATCCATGTTCAAGAGTCGGAAACATTCTGGTGGACGTCGGCATTTCCACCAGCGAAAGTGACTAGCTGGGGACCTTGCGGCGGCGTATCCGATAGCGTCCGAGTTGAGCACAATAACTCCCCCACCCCACATCCGAGACACCCCCACTTCCGAGACATCCGAAAATCCCGCATTTCTCCTCCTTCATCAACATCACCACCTTTTTCAAACTATCATAACATTTCACATATATAACCAAACAACGCCATTTTTTTAAGATACCTTCTTTAACCTATCATAAAGCAATATACTAAAGATAAGCTTTATTAGGCCCTTCTAGATATATAAAATAGGTATAGCATCTAGGCTGCTACTTCTAAATAGGGTATACTATACTAGTCACTTTATTATTAATACTATAGGCAGTAAAGTAGGGATACTGCTTTTACCTATATATAACACTTATCTTAGGCCTAAGAGGATAATCTAGCTGCCTATATATCCCTCTAAGCTTCCCTTAGTAGGCAGATTACCTATTAATAAGTAAAAGGCCTAGTAAAGCGTATAATAGGTAATAGGTATCCTCTTATAAGGAGGAAATAGATAGCCTAATTTATATAGTAAAATCTATTTATTAAAACCCTCTAATCTAGAGTAATTAATGCCTAGTAATAGGCAGCCTATTCCCCTAAGGTTATTTAGGATTTCTTCTATTACCTTAGTAGTATCCTTACTATCTAAGGTATTTATCTATCTAATAAATAGAATATAGATAAGACTAGTATTATAAAAAGTAAGGGAGTTAATAAGCTAGTGTTAGGCTTTATAATATTATAATATATCTAGAAAAAGTAGCTAGGATCCTAAGTATAGGTATCTATTATTAAGTGTATATCTACTACTAAGAGCTCCTTACCCCCCTTACTTATATATAAAGGTAAGTTACTTTAGGCCTAGTAGTTTATATCTAACCTATCTAACCTATTTAGATATAAGGCTTAGTAATTTATAGTAATAAATAATAGCTAGATAACTAATAATACTACCCTTAAATAGCTAAAAAAAGTCTTTATCTTATATACTAGGCCTGCCTAGCTAGAGGAGGCTAAACTACTAGTTCTTAATAGGTATTATAGCTATATAACTATTAACTTTATATAAAAATACTAATAGTATTATATCTATTTATTATTTTTACTACTATACACCTCTACTGTCCTCTAGCCTTTAGATATAGCTGTCTTTAGCCTATTAAAGTAGGCCTATTACTAGAGGGTTAGATATCTAGATAACTAGGTAACAGATTTAACTATTACTAGTAAAAAGGTATTTCTAGAGTGTTATTTTAAGGCCTATAAGGTATCTATTATAGATATTAATATTAAGAGTAGCTAGAGGGCTACTAGGTTATAGCTAGTATCTAGAAGGCACCCTCTATCTAACCTACTAGTTACTAAGGCCTAGCAGGCTAGCTAGGCTAGCTAGGCTAGCTAGTAGTCTAGTAGCTAATAGTAAGATAAAGCTAAATCTATTATCCTATAGTTAACCCCTTATTAATCTACTAATCTATAGTATTAATTATACTAGTTAACCTAGCTAAGTAAAGATAAGTTAGATACCTATACTATTTATTACTTATCTAGAAAGGTATAAAAGGGATATAATAAGTAGGTATCTAGAGCAGCCCTTCTAGAAAGGTAAGTTAACTTATTATAGGCCTAGTTAGATAATATATAGTTACGTAAGAGGAAAAAGGTCTGCTTATTACCTAACAGCACCTTTACTACTATAAAGGATATTATCTAGGCGTAGAGTCTAGATGCTAGCAATATAGATAGTCTAGATAAATCTAGGGCATCTAAATTGCCTAGTGAGGCCAAAAGTTATATATAGGTAGGCGGCAGAGATAGTGAAATAAGTGGTGATAGTGGTGGTGATGATAGTAATAATAATGTCTCAGATGTGGGGGTGTCTCGTAAGTAGGGTGGGGGAGTTAATAGTAGATAGACACGCATGAGCCTTGAACCAACATGAAGCCTTCTGGCCAAAAACTCCCGTCAGCGTTTTACATCAGCCTAGGCCAATTGACACAATGTCCATCGTCTCATTGGCAAGCAATGACTCACTGTACGTACATCACGAACCTGAACTGGAGCTCTCTCTGATAACTTCCAGGTCTATTCTCAACGGAGAAGAACTACAACGCCTCGCCGCTGAGCTCGGCTTCACCATCGCTGACCCTCATGATGCGCAGTCTTATCTTCTCTTGCTCAAGTCTTTCGAGGCCGTCATGTTTCAAGTAGATGCCGGCGACGATTATGTTCATCCTGCTCTGTCCCCGGTGCCTACCACGAAACCTCGATCGTTCTGGAAGCCGGATGCGAAAGACAATCCCCTAAACGCCTGGAGCCACCGTTGCGATATCGCAGCCGCTCAACCGACCAGTAATCTTCTCAGGGGGGCCGGAACGTCGCCGTCAAAGACAATGTGTGCATCGGCGGCCTGCCCACCACGCTGGGCACGCATCCCGAAATCCTCACCAGGGACGGTTCTCTTTCTCTCTCGCCTATCGACGCAACTGTCGTGTCCCGTTTGCTGCGCGCGGGTGCCCTGATCAAGGGCCCCTCGACATGCGAAAACTTCTGCGCTTCCCCCTTGGCGTGTACGTCGGTCACCGGACCGGTGCATCACCCGCTGCTACACGGGTACACTACCGGCGGCAGCAGCAGCAGCTCATGCGCCCTCGTCTCCTCAGACGCTCTGCACCGGTCAGGAAATGACGTCTTCGGGGAGACGGCAGAGCTGGCGATTGGTGGCGACCAGGCGGGCTCTATTCGCATCCTGGCATGCTACACGGGCATTTACGGGCTGAAGCCAACGTTTGGGTTGGTTCCGTACACAGGTGCTGCTTCCATGACGCCAATGATCGACCATCTAGGTCCAATTGCGTCAAGTATAGAAGATATAGCGATGCTACTAAAACTCATGGCTGGGTGGGATGGCATCGATCCCCGTATGACACCCGAGACGCCTCTCGTAGCCAATGCCAAGGACTATCCCGCCCTGGTCAACGAGTACCGCCAGACGACTTCCGAGCCTGGACAATCTGTCTTGAGGATAGGATTACTGACCGAGTCCTTCGGCGTGGCAGGTCTGTCGCAGCAAGTGTGCGAGCTAGTGCGTAAGGCAGCGAGAGAAGGCTTTGAAGCCGCCGGAGCTACGGTTGTCGACATTTCGGTCCCCATGCATTCCGAAGGACCCATCATCTGGACGGCTGCCACCCGTCCATCCATGGCTTTGGGTCTCCTACATGGGAAACCATCAGGACATCTATCGTACCTATCGCCTCACATTCAGACACAATGGCGTCCGAACCAGGACACTTACCAGCTTCTGACCCAGTCCAACCCCGCCGTTGTCAACATTCTCCTGAGCCAGGTCTTTGATAAATCCCACTTGGCCGCCTCCATTGAAGCCAAAGCCCACAGAAAAGTCTTTCAGCTGCGCACCGCCTACGACGCGGCCCTCGCACAAGTCGACGTGTTGGTCACGCCGTGCGCGCCGACTGTCTCTATGCCCCATCCCGACCCAGGTGCGTCGATAATGGAGAGGCTAAAACCTGCCATCGGATTTACAAGCAACACATGCCCGTTTAACATAACGGGACATCCGGCGATGAACGTACCGTGTGGAGAGTTGCCGCTCACGGAGAGGCCTCATGTGAAAATGCCCGTGGGAATGCAGGTCATTGGTAGGAGGTGGGAGGATGAAACGGTAATGAGAGCGGCGATAGTATTTGAAGACAGACAGAAGAGGCTTGCGCGTGCTCAAGGCAGAGCTTCTGCAGGACATGAATTAATACTTTGTATCGTACTATGCTCTCGCCTCTGTCTCTGCATCTGCATCTTCTGCTAAAAAGGCAGCGATCTTCTCATCCATCCACTTTACATCCGCTGAGTTTGACCCTGCGCCTGCCAAGTGTCCCCAAACCGACGGAATGACTTTCAAACTCCCTCTCTTCAGCATCGCGACCTCGCGCTCGCTGGCATCGGGGCGAAAGTATTGGTCAGTCCGACACGGCATCAGCAGAACCCGCGCTTCAATCCTCCCCAAGGCCTCTTCCAATCCGCCACCGTCCGCCAAATTACTGATATCGCCGTTTTGCCACATGCGCAGCTTCACGAGCAGGTCGTTTGGGTACCACCCATCGTACCGCGGCCCAGTGGTCTCGCTATCCCACGCGTGCAAGCTGTCGTACCCCAGGTCCTTGTAGAGGTGCTGGTCAAACCACTCAGCACTAGTAAGCCACGCTGAGTACGCCTTACCGAATGCGCGGACACCACGCGACGCATAATCTTGGGGCTTTCCTGTGAAGTCGACAGCGTTTTCTAGGGCGGCGGATGGGCCTTCGAGGAACTGTCTGTTATGACCGCTCGTGCGAGCCGAGGAGCAAATGATGACGGCATTGCGTACCATGGTCGGATACATGACAGCCCAGTGGTAGGTAGTCTGTCCACCCATAGAAAACCCCAAGACGACGTCTAGAACATCGACACCCAGATATGCAAGCAGCGCATGCTGGGCGCGCACGCAGTCGCGGTAGTCCAGAGAGGCGGGAAATGAGGGCGTGTTGGAAGGGCTGGAAGACTCGCCGTTGCCAAACAGGGCGACAACGAGGATCCTGTGGTTCTTCAAGACGCCAGAAGAAGAGTTGAGGGTTGATTGAAGGGAGCCCTTGAAGCAAGTTGGGATGAGGGCGACTTTGCTGGCAGTGCTGTTTATGTCGAGGTAGGCCAGGCGGACGAGGGGCACGGTGGTCCCATTGGTGAAGGTGAAATTGGGGAGGTCAAAGTAATGGACTGGATATTGATGCTGGGCCATCTTGGCTATGTGACTATCGAGGTTTGAGGGTGAAGGGTGAAGCTTGTTACGAGTCGCCGTGCGGATACCTAGGGCGGGGAGTGATGTATATATGTACATTAAATTGGTTGTCTATATGGATTTCGGAGGGGCCGACATGCAAAACCATGAAGCAAGAACTTGAGAAGAATGCTCCATTGCTTGTGCTAAAGAAAGCAGGCTACAATGTATAAATCCATTCACGTATTCCGCACTGGTCCATTATAGCTTTTGCTGTTGTTTCAATAAGCTGAGGCGCCTTGGAGCTAGGAACACTATACGTATCAGCATACCCAGAAGCTTAGAATACAACCCAAAGCTCACGCCCCCACAGCCCAACAGCTTTGCAATAATAAGAAACATGAACTCACCGCGTAGCTGATGGTGACGATGATCAACCTGCGGAACCTGCTCTACGATCGGTCAAACGTTTCTCCCTCAATCGGAATACCCGTCAACAGTACTTCGTCCTAAGCCTGAATACGCGGGTCTCGCAACTAGAAAACGACACCAGTGCAACAAATCCTTGTCGCTTAGATAAAGCCAATGAGCGGAAAGAACTTCTCACGCACCAGGGAGAACATTACGCCCCAGTCGACGCGCCTGACGACACGATACCCGTTGCGACCCCCCTTTTGTGGGAGAAGTATCGCGCAACGACCCCCTCGGCCCGGCCCGAACACCAGCGACAAGCCCATCCAGCCCAGCACGCGAGCATGAATTGCTAAGTACCAACGCGTACACATGCCCTACAGAAGCAGAAACGAAACGGGGCCAACACCCTCCCGCAACTATGTGGGCGCGTGGGCCGCGGACGTGAAAGACGAGCTTGGCCTGAATCTCGCAGGAAAAGGTGAAGCCACGGTAGACGCTGAAAACCCAGGATATCGAGGACGGGTTGAGGCTTGTAAGCTGGCTGCGCTACATATACGCGGGGAAGGTATTGACGCCTTCGAGACACGATGTGCAGCTTATCAGTACTGTTGAAAGCCACGTTGGCTTGTTTGATGCGTCCACTGTCGGTCACGATACTGATAAGCGGCAATGCATTGAACGAACGAGGATCCTGTGAAGCTCAGAAACACCCGCTGGGGTAAATCGATGAGATATCACTCATTTTCGACATAAATTACGAGCATTTGGTTCAAAAATCGTCTTGAAAGAAGAGATGAATCATGGTGTGTTGATGCTGACCGTTCCCAAGCCCGACTTCAGGGCGGAGGTCAGTCACAGTCTGAGAACAGCATAACGAGTTGTCGGGCCGACTTTCCGAGGACTAGCCTCATCAGCATTTACTCTTCAGGACTTTTCTGTCGGGATTCCAAATCGCAGCGGCCGACCATGACCGGGACGGCGACTCCGAAGGCCTATCCACCCCGTCCGGTCGGGTTGTCCGCCATCGCGTCGGCTGCATCCTCTCTGGGCCCTGCCGCACGACGCCGGTCTTCCCTTAAAGTAGTGAGATGCACCCAGAAGCAGACCATTGGCTACCAAGCAAACACCAAGCAAACTCCAAGCAAGCATCTCACGACTTTCCCTGTGTATCCTACTCATCATACAACCACAGCTCATTATATTCACTTCAACGAAGACATAACCGGACCAAGAAAGCATCATGGCTCCCAACGGCGACGCCTTTGTCATGAACCCCTCTGCCCCGGAGCCACCCACGCGTTACACCCATGCTCGCCTCGCCCCTGCCGCTCCCCACCGTACCATCTACATATCGGGCATCGCCTGCGTGCACCCTGCTACGGGCGAGTGGCCGGGCGTGAAAGACAACGGTGACGGCACGTACGCCCTTGATGTGCGGGCACAGACATCAGCGGTGCTGTCCAATATCGACCTTATCATCCGCGAGGCAACGGGCGGCAAGGGCGGCGTCAAGAACTTGATTGATAGTGTTGTCTACGTGGTCGACATGAAGCGGGACTACCAAGGCATGAATGAGGAGTGGAACAAGGTATTCGCAACGAGGGCCGAGGCACCCGCCAGAGCGACAATTGGAGTTAAGGAGCTGCCAGATCCGAGGATGTTGGTCGAGATTAAAGGTGGTGCTGTTGTTGAGATGTGACCAACATGACCATCAACCGATAATAAGAGTCACGCATAGCCATCCAATCATTTCTGAACACTTTTTTCTTTCTTTCTTTCTGCTGTGATCATATTTGCAGGTCAATCTCCCTGTAACGAGCCACAATTTCCTCGACCATTCTTTTGATATTCTTGGCGGCCGGGAATTTCAAACTTAACGTATTAAACAGCTCAATCGCCAGCTGCAGCGTCTCGATCGCTTTGCTCTCCCTCAGCACAACCGCCAGATTCTCCGGTCTTGCCGTCGTCGCATATGTCAACGACAGTGTCGATGTGAAGAGCGCCAGCAGGTTAAGCCAGTTGTGCGCAAGCCGCTGTTGTCGGTGCATCGTGGTGGCTTCCCGAATCGCTTTGCCCGCGGCATCGCCCAGCGTCTCAACGCGGGCCTGGTCGAGTATTGGGAAAAGAGGTGACAGGCGGTACAGCATGGCAACCTGCATGTAGTAATTGAAGTCGTACCAGTGACTGCTGAGATGGGGCACATGCGGGTGCGTGTCGGGTAAGGGGAAGGGCATGCTGCGGCGCCAGTCGATCAGTTCGCGATGGAGGGAGTGAATGATGGCCTCGCGCTCAGAGATGGACATTTGCGCGTTTCGTTTGTTGGAGTAGACAGATTTCACAATCTTGCTGGACAGTTGGCGCAAGCGAAGGAGGTGAAGGGGGACTGCCATGGTGGAGGGTTGAAGGGGGTTACGCTGGCGAATGCCCGTGGCGGTGATGTCTTCGTCATCAGCGTCGGCAAACGGCTGTCTATATTAGTCATGCTGTTCTTTTATTTGCTCTCGTCACAACTCACTTCGATGTCTATGTCATCGTCGTGCAAGGCAAAAGGTCGCCCGAGTGCTGTTGATACAACCCTTGAGAGTCCTTAGCCTAAGAGAACGCCGATAGTATTTCTGGATATTAGCTTACCGATCCATCATATACACTGAGTAAAAGACACGCTTTCGATGCTCAGCAACATCAACGGGAAGCGCGTCGTATGAGGACGATGTGTGCAAGCCCATGCCTACCGATAACCTCGCTGCAAGACCTACAAGAAACCAAGTATCTAGATTCACGGGTTAATATCGTGAACCGAACTTCAGCATGGGGGGCGTACTTGGTCCGAGCTGGTTGAAGAAAGAATATGATACCTGAAGCATGATGACCTCCAGCGCGACCTATCACCAGTCAAGCTCTGTATCATACCCCCGATCACGTAGCGCAACGTACCATGTCGCCGTACCCAAGAGCATCCTCCATATAGCCAAGGGCCTTGTTGTAGTACAGCATCGACTCTGACTCCTCACACAGGGCAACCGAGCAGTATGTGGTTGATCCTATCGCTAGTATCATCCACAGCCTGAACATCCACAACGGCGATTGCGCCGCTGGGTCCTGGGGGTTTTCCAGGACCGTGACCAGCGCTTCTTCAAACTCACGCCGCCGCACAATGGGATACAGCGTGTGAGAGTGCGCAAAATAAAAGTCCACAAGGTGCTGTAGGTGACTCTGCGGTGGTATCTGAACGTCTACCAAGGACGGTTGTGGATCTGTGATATCGGATAACGTGATACCAGAAAAGAAGGGGTGATGAAAGGCAGTCGAGCGGTCAAAGCCGTGGTACAAAGTCGACCCGAGCAGGTCGGCTGGAGATCCGCCCAGGATTTGATTTGTGGACTCGACTTCAAGCTCTCTGTGGAAGACGAAATCAGCGCGGTCCGGCAAGAGCCTCCTGAGCACCGCCTGCGTCAACTTGGCAAACGACAACCCTGAAGCAGACCCCAAGTGCCGTTCCGCCGCAGCCTCGAGCGTGAGCAATCGCAACTCATCACCAAGCGTCGTAGTGGCCGTCATTGGCCGGGCTTGGGAAGGTGATTGATCTGTGGCGGCCTGCAGTATCGGAAACACCGACCCCGACGGCTCCATCATCTGGTCCTCGAGCATCGTGTCAGGACGAGCCGCGGCCTGCGCATCTTTCAACGCAGCCGCCAGATCGTCCTCCAACTTTCGAATCCTGTCCTCCAACGATCGCACAAACCTAGTAACAGCTCCCCGTCAACACCAGCACGATTGCAAAACGTTTTGGTTGGGGCCGGGGAGGGGAGAGAAACCCACGCGATCGGGTACGCCGCCGCCTGCTGGTCGTCGTTCAGGAAACTACACAGAAACCGTGCCATGCGACAATTACCACACTGGGGCAGGAAGCGGTCACATTTCTTCTTGCGCCGGTGGCAGCGCTGGCACGACGTCCGGGCCTGTGCCTCGCAGGGCCTTGTTGCTGCGGCGGCTGCGGCGTCGACTACTGTCCGTGTCTGAGGGAGCGGCATGGCCGTAGGAGCACTTGTGCTTGCGCCAAATGGTTACGGCTTCTCCGACGGGGTTCCTATAGTGCTGATCTGTGAGTAATCGAGGAGAACCGACGACCCTGGCATTGTCGAGGCGTGGGATGCCGAAGGACGGGCGAGAGATAAGACAGATAGGACGCCAAAGGCGGCTTAGGTTGTGGGGAATGCATGTTCCTCGAATACCAGCCGTATCCCAGGACGGGAATTACGAAGCATGCCCTAAGATAAAGCCGTGGTACAATTCGAGTCTTCTTAAATGTCCCAAAAACACGACTGACACTATCTTCATGGTCATCTTGTCCTGGTGGCCGTCGGCAGCAGCTGGACGACAAACTGGGCCAGATGCTTAAGTTATGTCAAATGTTTGCATACAACTTTACAGTCCGGTAAAGGGAAGCTTGTTATAAATTGATTGCTAAACATCTTCCAGAGCCCATCTTTCTCGCTACCTTGCAATCATCCATCCCGAGCTCACACCTACAAGGAATGGCCCCCATCAACCACAACATTGACGCCCGTTATGCTTCTGCTCTTCGCAAGCGCATATACTTGCTCAGCCACGTCCTGGATTTCGTGCTTGTTAGTCTTGTCTTTTGGCCTGCCAGACTGGGGTCATCATTCACATACCTCAACCGTGACAGCTCTCTTGATTTTGGTCTGTTGAATATGCGCATCTTTGATCTCGTCTGGGAACTGTGAAGCCCAATCCTATCATCCATCTCAGTCATGAGTGACTTCAGTTCACTTTCGTCCATACGTACTGTGAGGAGTAGACCTGGTGACACGGAATTAACTCGAATCTTTGGGGCCGCGATGACCGCAAGCACCTTGGCTAGGTGGATCTGAGCGGCTTTTGTTACAGCGTATGCCTAGGTTCTGTAAGCCGTGGGAAGGTTTTGACAATGATAAATGAGTAGTAAAACAGTACCAAGGAGCTTCCACTAGCACCAATACCAGCTATAGATGCCGTGGTAATGAATGCACCCTCCGTCTCGTCCAAATGCTTTTTGGCGGCATGCATGAGCCAAACATGTGACTTAACATTCATGTTGAAGCACCTGTCCCAGTCATCCTCTACAAGGTTGTCTAAACTAATGCATTAATTTTTGTTCGGGTCATTTCCGGGGGCAGGCTGTACACACCGTCCAAGCTCGAGATACCTCGATAACATGTCCATCCACCATTCGAAAATACAACGTCCAGTCGACCCATTGTTTGGATAGTTTCATCAACGAGTTTCAAGATTGCGTCGCGGTCCCCCAAATCCGCCTGAATGGCAACCGCATTGGAGCCTTTCAACATCTTGAGCTCTTCGACCAGCTTTTGCGCTCTTTCAACATTGCTACTGTAGTTGATAACCACGTTGAATCCGTTCCTAACGAACACACGGGCAGCTACGGCGCCTAAGCCAGCACTCCCAGCTGTGATGAGAGCAACAGGTGTTGAGTCCATGGTGATTGTTTTTGGCTGCTCTCTGAGTCGTAGTTCCTTGTGCACAAGTAGAGTATGCAGCAATCCTTTGTGTTGGAAGTTGGTAAGTACCGGCGTATGATGGTCATGGTACAATGCCGAGGCTTATATGGCCCCCGCCTTTGTCACATCGCGTCTTCCGATGTCGGCTCTCTTCACCCACACAAAGTTGAATCGGATCTTCCGACGCCACTACATAATGACCCCGCACGAATAACATTATGCCGGGTTGGTAGGTAACAGCAATTTCATCCGTGAACCAAGCTTATGAAGGGAACATCACTTGATGCCGATGACGACCCGTCAGATAGCACCTCCATGGTGGCCCAGAGATAATAATTGGCTCGAAATGAGGCTTAGAATTGTTCGACTGTTTCTAGACCAGCAATCTTGGCACCTTAACGACAATACTGATTTGAACATCCAGTTTAATTAAAGGAAAAGTGGTTCTTCTCTTTGGATGATTAGGAAAAATTACAAATCAAGCTTGAAGTGATATAAAACATAACCAAAAACCTCCGTTTCGAAATATGTCTCTTGAGAACGCATTCTACTACGTATACCTTACATACAGCGGTTATCCGTCCAACGATCCGCAAACTCTAATACTCTGCTAGGCTTTCCTACTGGCAATTGTGACTCTGAGAATTGGATCCGGTAATTATTAGCTTCAGTATCTGTCCCACCATGGGCCAAAATTGCGTTTTGTTATCAAAGGGCAATTGCACTGTCTAACTCCATGGCCATGACAGGAATGTTTTTATGTCATCAAGAGATGTGTGTAACATTAAAACAATAATATTTCTCTCCTGGGCGAAAAGCCTATTACTGAACTAATGATTGATCCTTTCACTCAAACACCTTATTGATCAGCCTGCCTACCCTTCCGGGTTCCCGAGGTATATACAAAGCTTCATATTGATCAATCTCCTCTTTGATCCCGCCTAGGCTAATTTCTGCAGTGCCAGGTCTGACATAACGTGTTTTGAAGAAAAGCTTCCAGCCAATAAAGGCCAAAATAAAGAAGCCAATCATTCCGTAGTCCAAGAAGAACCACATCACATCCCACCCCCCAGTCAGAAACAGGTCGTATCCGGCAGCCAGAAGCATGAACAAGGTGCCACCCATAGCGAAGTATGAAGTATACGGCTGGAATCTACCTTTGTAAGGTAGGGTCTCTCGTGATATTCCTTGTTTCTTCAGCGCCGCGTAAAAGTGCCGATAAGTCAGTGCCGTGAAACCGTAATTAAGAAGTTGACAGCAAGTTATCAGGTCCACCAGATAGACCAGAACGTCTGCCGATGTGCTACTAAGCTGCATGAAGGCCAGCAAGCAGAAGGATAGGGAGAGAAGTAGCGAGTATAATGGCACGCCGTTCTTGGTGCACCGTGAAAATACCTTTGGCGCGTAACCCGTGAGGGACATGCCATGGAGAACGCGTGTGGCTGAAAAGAGTAAGCCGTTCCCAGCACTGAAGATGGACGTCATGATGAGGGCGTTGACAATGTGGGGGAGAACGTGTATCTGCAAGCGGTTCATAGCAATAATGTAAGGCCTGTACCCGAAAGTTTAGCGTCTCAAGTCAGATTATTGCCGATAAGATGAATGTTTTTCACTTACGATGCCGCACCAGTGCCTTTTCCTCCGCTTTCACCTCCCAGGATGACTGCCAAGGTTGAATCGTCATACGGAATCACGATTCCCATGCATAGCGCGGAGCCGACGAAAAAGAATAAGATCCTCCATACGAAAGACCTGTAAGCCGGTGGCAGAATCCGGCGAGGGTTCTCCGCCTCAGCAGCCACCATCGAAATGTACTCAGGTCCGCAAACCCTAGATAGTAAGTCAGTAACCCAGCTTGGCTTGGGAAACTGTTAGGAAATCAAATTGTTGCGAGGAACATACGAAAAGCTCGCCTGGTACATGCAGGACAAGATGCCAAGGAATCTACCCGTATTCCCGGAAGCGTTGTGCTCCACGAAGGCCCCAGGGCTTTGCCAAAATCTGAACCCATATGCATCCTGGAGCGGATTGCCACCGACCATAGTGATAAAGGTAAAGAAGAATAAGCCAATCATTAGCAATACCTTGAATATGGAAAGGTAGAACTCGGAAATTCCGAAATATCGGACAGTAATGATATTGAGAAGGGCATATAGAGCAATCATGGGTACGATAATCGCGACAATTGGGACAGCGTCGGTCCAAAAGGTGATCATGATGCCCATGGCGACAATCTCAAAAGGGACGAGGATCGCCATGTTGAGAAAGAAGTTCCATGCCATGGCGAATCCCAATGCCTCATCAACCCACTCGCCTGCAAAGCGGACGAAAGGCGACGGCACAGGCACGTAGGTTACCATCTCAGCGAAGCACTCATTCACCGCCCACATGACGCAGCCCCATATGATGAAGGCAATGAAGAGGCCTGCAGGACCGCCCTTAGGCAAAGCAGCACCCATTTGAACGTATAGAGCTGGAGGTGGTGGTCAACGTGAGGCCATCCAAACCGACGAGACTTCGAACTCTGGACTTCTGGCTGGGCTGAACGTACATGTGCCAATTGCTCCACCAATAGCAAAGAGCTGGACTTCCTTTCCTCGAAGCTTGCGATGCAACGCCTGGGAACCGGCCTTTGTGTTCAAGATGCTGCCAACACCGATATCTATATTGGAGCCATGTCCCGAATCATTGTCCACAGAGCTGAAAGGGGGGCCCTTCTCGGCGTGCTTAGAGGTAGTCATGAGGGTATATGTTGATAGCAGTGTGTCCCTTGCTTAGGCCAGAACTGCGTAGAATGTCGGGATTAAGATGCACTTGGGAGGGTGGACTGGACCAGCCATAAATGACAAATTCGTTGCCTCGTCATCCCCCTTGAATTGACTCGATTGCCAAGTGTAGATATTACACGACTGGGCTGCCAAGGTTATCGCGATAGCACTGATTGCGGACGCTTGGGGATTGGACGTCGGAGCATGGATAACGGAACTGATATCGCCAGCCATTACTGTCGGACTAGCCCCCGAAGTGGGGAAATGTTCCATCGTGTTATCGGTCTACCCGCAAATGATCAAGATAGTAGTAGTACGAGCTTAAGTCAAAATCAAGATTGCACTGACCAGACGGACGATTAAGTAGTGTCAGCTTCGGAGCGCTTGATTCCCACTGGGGATCGTCCGGTTGTCTTGCTTGACATGCTTGAGCCGATAAAGACACACACTAACTACAGATAGTTGCAGATGCGGCGAAATTGAATCTGCAAAGCTCATGGGAAATATCATATTACAGACTACTCCGTACAAGAGTGAATAAAAAGTTTTAATCGCAAGCGGCTTTCTAGGGCTTTATAGAGGAATTTCAAAAGCTGGTCACTGTTGTGCTAATAGGGTATCTTATCCTTGGCCACCGGCTAAAGGTCGATAGTTACAGATGGGCTTTCTGGACTTAGGCTTTGTAGTCCCCTCGACACTTGTACTCTTCGTACTTCAGATGCGGCTGGAATTCACAATACAGCGTCTCCTTTTGTTTTAAACACGCCCGTCAGTTTAAGAGACACGTTACGTTCCTACATTGTCAAGACTTACCGGAGTGCTTGCCATCTTGAAATTATACGCTGCTTCCTCGTCGGAAACAAAGTGCTTCTCGAGTCCGGCAACCTCGACTGCGAGCTGTACTTTGCAGCTCCTCTCCATCAAACAGAATAGGTACGCTGCCTCATCGACTGTCTGACCCACAGTCAAAAGTCCGTGGTTCAGCAATCGCAGCTTTTCCTGATCCCAGACTGGCGGCAATTCTCTCGCCCTCGGAGGCTTCGTTGGCAATACCACCATAGTCGGCGTAGACCGAATGTGCATTGTAAAAGTAGCAAACGTCTTGGTTCAGCATCTCGAGTGGCTTCGAGAAGGCCGACCATGCCCTCCCACAAACAGAGTGCGTATGGCGGATGGCGTGAACGTCGGGCCGGGCACGATGCACCGCACTGTGGATCTGAAATCCAGCGGCGTTGATCGAGCCTGCAGTGTTGCCGCCGGTAACTTCGCCATTCAGGTCGACACATGTCATGTCGCTCGCCTTGAGCATCCCAAAGTGGACGCCCAATGGATTCATCCAAAATTGGTCTTCGTACCCGGGATCTCTTACACTGATGTGGCCTGAGATACCCTCTGCGTATTCTTCACTGGCGAAGACGCGATAGGCCCCGCCATGTGTTCCAGCTGCCACTGGCGCGTCTCAGCATGAGAGGCAAATTTCGGGATCGACGGGAGGGCTTTGCCTCGGTGAGCCATCGCTGACATTGCATCGACATCTTTAATCTCGGTATGCATAGGAGCCGGTTTTGATGCAGTAGGTAGTAGATCTGTTACTGCCGAGGGAGCCATCGCGTTGCGTTGCTCTGGTCAGTATAATACTCCTTTAGATGCGTCTTGGAAAAATCGATTTTGGTTACTTGGTTGGTATGACTACTCTGAACTGGTAGGAGATAATGTTGACCATTTGCCATCGGACAGGTCTCATGGCTGGCTAGATATCTTCTTGGCAATCATGATTCATGTTCATGACGCTTTCGGAGCTTCCGACATCGTCGTGATCCCTGCCGAGGGGAAAGCTAACTTAGTTCGCGAGTGCCGACGACGCACAAAGCTGTATTAGCCAAAGCGGGGGAAAGGAACACTGGAATGATTAACCCGCGATAACACACATCAGAGCCATTTGTAGGTTGGGTTCTGACGACTAGCTTAACAATACAAATTATCCGAGATCAAACCCGTTTTCATATATCCTTATCCACGATACGTCGGTTGGTGACATACAACAGTGGCATCAGAGCACCTGCTTACAAGGCCATCGAAATGACACGTAGCATTCTCCGTGAGAGTAAGTGATACTACATCCATGTGAAAAATATTTGCCTAGTTGTCCTGACCTGATTGATTTGATTAGTAGCGCAAGCTGTTGTTAGCAACCCAGTGCCCATTCTCGCAGGAATAGTCATTGCAAGCGCTCTGTACCACTATATCTACAAAGCGCTGGCAGCATCCCCTCCACGGCTCATACCTGGCTCCAAAGTCTACGCAGTGACGAAATGGCGTCTAGCGTTGGATGACTATTTTGGCACAAGGAGTCGGAAAATACATCAGTTACACAGGAAGTACGGAACAGCCGTTCGCATTAGTCCTAATGAGGTCTCATTCTCCTCTCTCCCGGCCTTGCGTACTATCTACGGCGCCGGCTCAGGGTTTGAAAGGACCAGCTTCTATCGCATGTTCGATGTTTATGGACGACAAAATTTGTTCACGTTTGCCGAGGGGAGAAAGCACAGCGAGAGGAAGAAGCTGCTTGCGCACGCTTACTCAAAGAGTGTGGTTCTATCGTCTACTGGCATCGCCAGACCCCTTGTGGAGAAAAATGTCAAGAGTTTCCTCGCTCTTCTCGAACAAGAGAAGAGTGTTGCAGAGGAAATATTCCACAGTTTGCATTGGTTCAGCCTCGACAGCATCACTGGATTTTTGTACGGAGACAAACACGGTGGAACTCATGCACTGGAGGGAAACAAGGCGGATAGGATGATGCTTAACGATATCATTGACCCCAGCCGGAGAAGACTCAGTTGGTTCGTTGTCCACCTCAAGACATACACTAATTGGCTCTACACGAGAACCGGCGTCACGGAGAAGCTTGTCACAGCTCTGGGTCTCCTTCCCATGAAGAAGCCAGCAACATACACGGGTATCCGAGCCCACGGCTTGCGATCATGGAAAAAGTTCGAACACAATACCATCAACGATGAGGAGTCATACAATGACAAAGCAATCATTTCAAAGCTATGGCAGCACAGTAAGAGCGAGAAAGAACCTAGGCTCGATGGCCTTGATATCGCGTCCGAGGTTGCCGACCACTTCTTGGCTGGGATTGATACGACCAGCGACACTCTGATGTTTGTGATATGGGCACTCTCCAGGCCTGAGAATAAGAAGTACCAAGAACAATTGATAGCGGAGTTGGATCTCATACCTTCCATCTCTCGTAACGAAGACGGAAATCTGACAGCGGAAGCCGCGGACAAATTACCTTTTCTCGATGCAGTCATTAAAGAAGGCCTCCGACTGTACGCCCCATTGCCGGCGTCGGAGCCACGCTCGATACCTATGGACACCATAATCGACGGATACCACATTCCTGCCGGCACAGTTGTCAGTATGTCACCATATACACTGCACCGGAACGCAGCTGTGTTTCCAGAGCCTCTCAAGTTCAAGCCCGAAAGATGGCTGGGAGAGTGTGGGAATGTTACAGAGATGAAGAAATGGTTCTGGTCATTCTCAAGTGGTGGAAGGATGTGCATTGGCATACAGTACATTTTCTTTTTCTTCTTCTTCTTCTTCTTCTTTCGACAGAATTCAAACGTCAAGGAAGCTAACAAGTAGCCAATAGCCTTGCCATGGCAGAGATGACGACTCTCCTAGCAGCTATATATTCGAAATATACAACCGACGAGCAAGTCAGGCAAAAGAACGTAAGCCCCGGAATCACAAGTCGGTTTGAAGTATTCTCCGACGAAACTTTTGCTGTGGTTAAGGTAAGCTGCGAATGCTTTGGTGCTGCTTATAGGATACCCACTAATCTCTTTGATAGGAGCACGAGTGCTGGATCGACTTTACGAAACGACAAAGAGAGTGATGACGTCCAACTCTGAGAAACGCCGTCACCTAAATCGTGGTGAATGTGTCATTCCAGCTTCAGGATTACACAACTCTTTTTACAAATTCCAGGTTCAGATAGAGTCGCTTAAACATAACCGGCTACAGTGTTCCGCTTTGAATTTGGTGCGGGTGCGGGCGCGGGTGCCGCTAGTGTTTATTTGCGAGTTCGAGAGTCTGCGGAGGCAACGGGACGTTTGGGAACTCCTGGGTGTGCCTGACTGGGGAATACATTGTGGGATGATGTGCTGGTTGGCCGCGCAGCTGCAAGTGGTGTTGTCAAGACGAGAGCGCTATCATCTTTGAGGTCCAGGAGGGGGGAACCAATGTGTCTTCTCCGCAATGACCCCGGAACTTGGAGCAGTGTAGTTGACGCTCATGCTATCCGCATTGAGATGGACCTAAGAAAGTCTCAACACCGTCATTTGTCTACGGTCAGAGATTCGAGCTACCAGAACAAGCATGGAATTAAAGTGTTTTTACGCAAGGATTATTTGTACCAAAGATTGAACTCTTCGAGAGCCCTGTAGTGAGTCTAGGCATACTGCCTCATCAGCTGACATGTGTGTGTGGCGCAGGTTTACACGCATGTTATGAGGCTAGTCTGTCAGCGGAGTGATCATGACCATGCAATTATATACCATAGATATTACCACACCTTTCGACCCCTGTTATTACCTGTCGCGCTTTTTTCATAGCGTCTATCTGCCTACAGCCTGATCGCGTTGTCTAGAATCCCGTTTCTTCGAGCAGAAACTTGTGCGGCGCATTCAAATTATTGTCAATGACTTGGGTGACATCACACGAGGTGGCAATGCAGGTTATAGGCCACAGGCGACACAAAAGTCGAGCCGGGCTCTCGCGTACTTGTCGCTTTTCTATGAGCTGCGGTCGCTCAACCAGCGCTGAGAACCTTGAGCTCAAGCACTTTCTCGCGGCACCGCGGGCTTTAGAGCTTGTTCCTCTTACTCGTGTGAAGCCAACGTGGGGTGCAGATGCGCTTCGGTAGATATGACCAATATTTTACGTGCCAAATGCATCGATGCTGCTTGTTGACTTCACAACAAGCTACACTGACCAGTCTTCTAGAGAACGTTACATTAGAAAGATGCCTCTGTCATTCTGCTGGCTGTGTTTGTTTTGGTATCGTTCACATACGGGTCAATCACTCGCCGCCAAGTTCGTGCCGACCCGCGCAGGCAGAGTAAGCTTACTCGCAGCGTTGATTCCCAGTTGGGTAGGCAGCAAAAGACCCGGGGCAAGACTGACATGTCAAATCCGTACACGTGTAAGACAAGGTGAATGGAGAACTCTGCCTTGTTTACTGATCCGGAAGGGAACCGTTTGCCCATGGATAATAAGTTATGCCTCTCTCTTACTATCGAGAATGATACCCTCCGTCCAGCATCAAGTGCGGTTATGTAGACGTTGAGAACGTTATGAAACGGGCACTATCCTGAAGGATAAGGCAGCATCGGGATCCAGAGACCTCCTTATACACCGCTGGCGGCTCTCACTTTGCAGTTCCAAAAGGCACCCCAACCAATCGCAATCATGTAGTGTTGATATACTTCCGGCACAGCCCTTTAGCATATTCAATTGTACGCCAATCATATAATTGCAAATTTCTCTGCAGTTTCGGCTGTCAGAAAGAGCAATACGTAGTAGCTGTTGGAAAAGCATCTTATCAATTACGAGAGGTCTGTCGACGTGCAAAGATGACTACACTTGAGAAAGATCAGACCCAGCTTCGATACCTCTTATACTGATACCGATAGGCGTTACTGGGCTTATGTGGGAGTCTTGATTCTGTTCAGAGTAGATCACGACTACTCGGGCCATCCATTGCACACTGGAGCTGCAGCAGTTTCAATGTAGAAGCCAACTTCTTGGATTGAGATATACCGGTCGGTACATGCTGGCAAGTAGGGTCATGAGACGGCGGCTCCAGTCTCCTTCGGCATTCGCGAGCGAAACCGCCTGCAACGAGACGTGGAAAGTAGATGTTGGTGTACAGCCCTTTGATTCGACCTTCTATCATTTTCTTTGTTTGATTCTCTGCTAGTAGGATGAGTCTTCTCACCCAAGCTCGTTTGGTTCCGTTGCCTGGTTACTATCTGGCTTCTGGCCGCTCCATGACGAACTATATAGTAAATGAGAAACCGATCCCCTTCGAGAGGAATGCAGTCTACCGTAATGTGGTGCCCGCTGATCATATCCGAGTCTATGCCACAACGTCGACAAATACATCATCCGTCGGAGTCTTGCACTTCTTCGCCCTGATACTTAAACCGCCCGGGTCTTTGTCCCTAGCTCATTGCGTCTTCGGCTTTCTAAGCGGAGCAGTAACAGAGAACGAGACGAGGCTGTACTCGGTCTTCTCGATCTTCTTCTTATGAGCCGCATCCTTCTCGCCCAAGGCCTTCTCGTCCTCGGCCTTCTTCTTCTTCTCCTCCTCTTCATTCCTTTCACCGTCCTTCTTAATCTCTTTGACCACGTTGTCGTCCTCGGCCTTCTTCTTCTTCTCCTCCTCTTCATTCCTTTCACCGTCCTTCTTAATCTCTTTGACCACGTTGCCGTTGCCATCCAGTTCAACCACAATGTCACGCGTGTCCAAGGTACCGTCTTCAGTGTACATCCACATCTCCTTCAGTTCACCACGGACAATGCCAGTTAACCATAGGGAACCGAGAACGCCGGGGACCAGGTACAACAGCGCGGGCTGGCCATGCTTGAAGATGGTTAGCATAGAGAGAGTAACTAGCATGCCCAGTGTATAACCGATCAAGGAAGCGTTGAAGTAGGTCTTGCGGAAGGTTGATCCTCGCACAGTCGGGGGAGGCATCTCGTGTCCGCCCTTGAGCAGGCCCAGCCACGAAGAAGACCAGAACCAATCTCCCCAACATCCGGTAATATCGAGGTAGGTGGCCTTCTGAGCCATGTGCTGGGTCTCACTGACGGTGACGACATCTCCTGAATGGGCGTCGTGCTGGTCAGACTTCAAGTCGGTCGGAACGTACTTGATTTGTTGCTGGTAGTGCCGCCACATGTCGAAACGGAGGGCGAGGCACATGACGATGCCGGGGACAACGATGTCTCCGAGGCCGAGAATGCTGGATCTAGCTGCAGACTGGAATTGGAGCTTGATGGGAACGTCAAGTTTAGTGGCGACTGTGATCATGTAAGGCCTGGATGAGAGTCAGCGAATGTTCAGGCAGAAGGGGTTGATAAACTTGCGTGTAGAAAACCATGACGATATCGTAAAAGAACAGCCCCATCAGCACTAGGCTGCCGGTAGCGAAGTTCGTCGGTGACATGATCAGGAATGATCCGTAGCAGAAGCCGTAGCCCATCAAGTTGGAGAGGAAAGGCGACCCAGACATGAAGTAGGCAAAGACAGCTGTGGCAGCCAAGTTGAAGCCGGTGACATGGAGGGCGGAGATGTGAAACTTTTCTCGGAAGAGACCGTGGACCTTGGCCTTGACTGTCCACTCGTCAGTCAAGACATGGCGCAGATCCCAGAGGAATCGGTTGACGTTGATTCTGTTTAAGGGGATGGGGAAGCGAAGAGCGAACGGCAACGGATTGCTCTTCTGGAGAAACTGTGCGTTGTTCCGGTCCGTCTCCTCTCCCGTGAACTTGATAAAAGATTCGTCGTCGTCGTCGACGCGGTACAGCGAGCCATTGTGGCGGAAATAATTGGGAAACATGAAACCCACGGCAACCTGCAGTGAGTGTGCGATCAAGGTGGACAAGCTAGCAACGCCCATCACGGACATATAGACCCTCAGGATCTTGTTGAGAATCGCCGGGTCCTGGAGCCACTGGATGAGGTAGTAGAGACCGATCAGCATGGCACCGGCGAGGAGCGGGAAGAGAATAGCGTCGGTCGGCAGGAGGCCCTCGGTGATGGGCTCATCCTCCTTGCGCTCACGTTCCCCGTCCTTACGTTTTGCAGGGGCGGCCGAGGGAGGACGGCGAAGGGAGCCATGAGCGCCAATGTAGATGGTGGCCAAGGCGCTGAAGATGAGTTTGGCCTCTATGGTGAAGAGGCTGGCGTAGAAGTAGAGGTCCACCTCCGGCACAGCAGACGTGCCATTGCTGGTGGTGACGTTGCCGGTGATGTTGCCTGTGATCTGGTCGAAGGGAGGGGTGATCGGGCTGGGCACCGCTGACGAAGACATTGTGATAAAATTGGTGCAAAACTTTAGCGCAGCAGACTTGTGATTGAAGCTGGACAATTTGTGCGAAGCGATGAAAGTTGAGGCTCGTCCGTTGTTGCAGGGACCGAAGGTGCTGAGTCTGAAGTTGTGCAAGCAGAGTGCAAGAGTCAATAGCGCTGATGATGATACAGCCTTGTCGAATGGATACTGATGATGTCGCAAAAACTCCCCGGGGTTATATACTCCTCCTCGCAAGGGTACCGGGCTGGTGACGGTGTCGAAAGTTCAATGCCTGGGTGGAAATTACCCTCAGAGTCGTAAAGGTGCAACCTCCGAATGTAAAGAAAGGCCACCTGTCGGCTCTCAGAAGGGCTCGTTGAAAGGCCCCAACCGTAGGTTGGCGTATTGGGAATGACAGCAACGTGTTCCGAGCGAGACGAACTCAAGTCTCAAAATCCAGAGGAGCCGCCGAACGGTTACAAGTCACTTTTTTTTTCTGTTTTTCTCGTTTCCTTTGGCCCTCCCCGTTGGACTTTTTGGCTGGGTTTATCGGCCGCTGGAGAGACGAGGTAAAACCAAGAAAGCAAGAAGACGTCTGACGTCCCGAACTAGCCTCTTGTGACGTGAGAGGGAAGGGGCAGCTGTTCTGTCTCGTTAGTCGCACCTTCCGCTTGGCAAAGTGCGTGAGGTATGAGCGTTGCTGCAGTAGTCGCTTTGCGCCGGGCCAGGACAGCAGCTGCGAGATGCGATGATGCAGTAGGTAACCAGGTACGGGAGAACACAGCAGGGGTAGGGAGGGTGGTTCCAAAGCGCCCTGCAGCGCAGCTCTCAGCACGCCCACCAATGGCACAACGGAATGCCGCCGGGAAAGTGGGCGAAGCTCATCCCCGGCCGGCTGTTGCCGCCGCAGACCTCATCGCAGTCGCAATTCGACATCGCAGCCTCGTCCAAAATAATTGACGAGCCCCTCCAAACGTCCCACTACCCACGACGTACCATACCTCTCCTCCCCGCATCACAGAGCTGCACCACGAGAACCGCCAAAGATGACCACAAACGTCGCCCTTGAGACCTCAATGGTACGTTCAACCACACTCATGATGCAACGCCCAAGCTACAGAACCCTCCCACGGAAACCAAGAAGAAACACTCACTAACCCTTTCTCTTAAACTCAAAAAGGGCACCATAGTCCTCGAGCTCTACACCGCCCACGCCCCCAAGACCTGCACCAACTTCTCCACCCTCGCCTCGCGCGGCTACTACAACGACACGGTCGTCCACCGCATCATCCCCAACTTCATGGTCCAGGCCGGCGATCCTACGGGCACCGGCCGCGGCGGCACCTCCATCTATGGCGAAAAGTTCGCCGACGAGATTCACCCCGCTCTCAAGCACACCGGCGCCGGTGTCCTGTCCATGGCCAACGCCGGCCCCGACACCAACGGCTCCCAGTTCTTCATAACCCTCGCCCCGACCCCCTGGCTCGACGGCAAGCACACAATCTTTGGTCGCGTCAAGAACGGCCTGAGCGTCGTCAAGAGGATGGGGCTCGTCAAGACCGGGCCCGAAGACAGGCCCCTGGAGACAGTCAAGATTATCCGGGCTTCCGTTGTTGACGACGGCGGTGCGGACGAGGCGTAGCTGGGTTGACAACGGCGTTTTTTCTTGTTTTGTTTTATAATCTAAAATGCATGGCACGGAGTTTGGTGTTGGGTCATAAAGACACAGTCGGGGAGCATATTGAGTCAACAGATAATACCAGGGAGCCTCAGACGCATGATAACCTCCAAACCTTGTCGAGAGTTCATCATCGTGCCTGCCCCTGTATTTGTCTGTATCGTGTCACCACTCAGCATGTTATAAATCACACGAAAAGGCTCGGAGACGATAACCACAAGTCAAAGGGGGAATCAATATCATTCGGTCAATGCCTATAATAACCGCAATCTCTAAACGCCGCCATCCGCCTCGCCGGGTGATGCACGAGTATGTATGGGGGAAATTTCCCCACTCCTTTAACAGAACCCTCCCTGACCGACTCCTAGAACCATGCAATGTTATGGGTCTCGTATATCAATTGTTGGTGGCAGCCGTGCTAGAAGATCAAATTTTGTGATGAATACAAGGCGGTAACGGCTAGTCCAGTATCCGACTTCGGTGGTTGGTCGATCCGTGACAGCTTTCCTGGTCGTAGTATACCCGTAGCCTCAAGATGATGCTCATCCTGACCTGCGGCTGAACCAAGTTATGAATGAAGAAAATAAAGATAATAAAGAGTAGTAGACACAAAGAGATGAGTAAGTTAGGAGCGGCGCCTCTTGCTAGCCTGGCTCTCGTTATGGTCCGAGGCTCTTTTTCGCGTCATTATAGCAGGTCGGGCCTCGGAGACGGGCTGCCGCTTGACACAAGATTGGTTTTTAGCGACGGAAGGACCGCTAGTAGCGGACGTGCCTGTGGTGGCAATTGGAGCCATCATCGTCGTTTGACCTTGAGCACGGAGCTCCTTGCGCGAGAACCTTCCCCGAGCAGAGGGCTGGTGTACTCTGCGTTCGATTTTGATGATTGTGTCCTTCTTGCTAGAGTCAACATCGTTTGGCCTTGGGGATTCGCCGATTGACCAGGACGAAGGGAACGTCGACGATGATGACGACGAGGGCAATGGCTTGGGGTGTGGATCGCTGGCCCAGTTGCGCTTCTTACCAGTACCGCCAGACTTCTAGTTTGGCGGCGAAGACAGGGTGCCAGACGACTCGGATTCAGCGTCTTCGTTCCGCCCGTTCTTGGAGAGCGGCGACGATAGCGGCGGCTTAGCGGCGCCGAGCTTAAGTTTTTTAGCCGGGTTGATACCTTTGGCCTCTTTTCTCTCCTTCTTCGGCGCGACCTCGACGGTCGAGTTGTCGCCGTCGTCAGGTCTTGCCTCGCGGCTTAGCAGGGAGCTGGACTTGACCCTTTCCTTCTTGGGGCCCTTTGTCTTAAGAATGACCTTCTTCGTCATCAAGGGCGTTGACTTGAGCTTCTTTTTCTTGTGGCCGTCGGCCGATTCGTCTTCCTCCTCGGGCGCCGCTATCTCCTCGCTGTCACGCTTCTTGGGGCTCGAGGCCCGCGACGCGGGTGCCGGCGTGGCCTTTTGACTTGACGGGGGCGTGCCATCAGGCTGGCTGGCACCGTTGCTGCCGTTGGAGATCTTGGCCGCCGCCGCGCGACTCGCATTACGACCGCTCATTCCTATACAGGAGCCCATGTGGTTGTTGAGTCGTGTGACGAGAATGCATCGCTTGCATTTGCTGCAGGTTGCAGAGGGGAATGAGAGAACATTGGGCGGGCGCGATTCACCGGGGGCGGGCGACTCAATGTTGGGGTCGGGCTTCATGTCCTTCTTCTTCTTGCCTCGGCCGGGGCCGGGCTGAACCCATGTTTGGCCGTAAATGTCGTAGCCGGGTTTGTCGATGTAGGGATGCTTTTTGCAGTAGATGACGCTGGGATCGGGCTTTCTCGCGCCCTTGCCGTCGGTCGGGTAGAGCAACCGCGGCAGGTGGCATCTCGGGCAGACGATCTCGGAGGTGGTCTTGAGGGGATTGCCCTTGAGCAGAACTTTGCCGTCCTCGTATATGGCAGCATCGGTCTCGATTCGGATGTCTGGTTTTGCTTCCGGGGTCGAGCTCTCTGATGCGTCGGAAGCCAGCTTCTCGACACGTATAGCGGCGGTGGTGGCTCTCGCCATCTTCTCGTCGCGATGGACCTTGAGCAGCAGATCATGGACGATGTTGTACATGAGGTCGTCAAGAACGGCATGTGCCTGTTGCCGGATAACAGACTGCGGTTAGCATCACGTCAAGTCATCAGCCAGGGCAAAACGACGCCCACTTCACCCATGTGTCGGGACGGTTGTCCAGGTGAAGCTAGGGTGGGACGGGGGAAGGAAGATCGTGAGATCGGAGCGCACTTACAAGCTTGTCCATACTGCCACTATCGTCTGGGGCCACGATTACTCCAGCCTTGCCCGTGTTGGAAGCCATCTCGACGACGAGGCCGATGGAACGGCGCACAAAGGCAGGGGGTGGGAAACGCCGTCGTGATCGTGCTGCAGCCTCTGACGGCGGAAAGCTTCGTTTGTGGTGCAGGAAAGTTGTGGTTGCGGGTTGTGGAATCGATCTGAAATCGGGTTGACGGGACTAAAATACGGAAGGTGCCACACGACCGGACGAGGGGGGTGGGTGGTTGCGAGAAAGGCAATTACTGCCGGCCGAGAGAAAAAAATGGTCGGAACCTTGCGTTGCTGACGGGAAGGACCTTAAAAAGGGTGCAACAGCGACGGCGAAAATGCCTTGACAGATGGGAAACTGGGTAGTTTTTTTTCCGGATTACCAACCTGCTGCTAACCAACCGCAGATAAGGAAAGGAACAATTCGGGACGGAATAGCGCAACAGCAAACCTCGCAAAGGTCCCAACACCGCAACAACCTTACCTTCCTTCGCTCACTTGGCCCTCTGTACGTGTCCGAGGTGCTCTATAAAAGACAGACAACTGTTGAGATCGACAGCCGGAACAGGAATCAAGATCTATGGTAGGAGAAGGAGTAAAAATGACCCAGGCACTATTAGGTTACTACGTATAGCAGTCACTATCACCTCGGCTTGCCCTTGAATCATGACATGGTATCATGTCATTTGCGTGCGCAAGTACGGAGTACAAAGGGCATAAGCCGCCCGAGCGCCCCTTCGTAAAAGTCGTCAGCATCGATCTCGGGCGAACAATTGCTACTATGTACATTGCATGGCACGGGCTCAACCCCCCTAAGTATGTGCAATCGGAAGCCGCTACAGCTACATTGTGCAAAACCATTACACCAGGAGAGAGAGAGAGAGAGAGAGAGAGAGAGAGAGAGAGAGAGAGAGAGAGAGAGAGAGAGAGAGAGAGAGGCAGAGAGAGTAACGCAGCTTATCGCCTGCTGTACAGAGTATAGGCAGAGTAACATCAAGTTTCTTCTGCATGGGAGGAAGACGATGGCTCCCTGGACCATGGGGTTCATCACAGGGGGGGGGAAGTTCGGATGCCATTATTACCGTGAGCCAGCCACAGGGCGGATACAGTGCCCCCATCAGCGCATGCATGTGCCTGAGTTAGTGCCCCCTTTAAACCCATTTTAGGGGACTCGGACTCCGTAACCCCAGTCGGCAGAAAGCTGCACTATCTCGGAGTAGGTTCACTTTCGGCCTTTGACCGCCCAGCACGTCAGCACGCCATTGGCCTTGGCTAGAGTTGCGCCAATTGAGATCTCCCTGCAGGTGCTGCTGGCTGCTGAAACCTCATCGATTTTAGCCCTGGCAGACAGACCCGATCACTGACACTCCTTGTCGCCCTGCAATTGCTATTTGATCTCAGGAGCAGCCCGTTACAGCCCGGTCGTCGGTGTTCTGTGACGACCTGGTGGGGCCGCCTTCCCGGCGGAGCCTCCAAACACCGCAACTTTTGACCGCACCTGCCCTACATGTCAGGACATGCACAACGTTCACTCGACATACTACTTGTATTGCGTTGAGCACTGAGCATGGTACTTTTACTGTTATATTCATCTCTTTTTCCCCTTCATGACTTTGTATCATTAATCTTGGGTACCTGTGCAACTTTAAGAGTGAACGCCTTGTATTCAGTAGTTAGTATGTCTACCTTGGTTCACTCTACGTACCCACTCACCCACCTAGAGTTTGCTGTGGGGAAAGTGCTTCCCTCACCACTGTCCACGGTCACAGGGGGCAAGCACCGGCAGGGGCCTCCAAGGAGTCACACCCCCTCATGTCCCAGTGCGTCGCTGGCAGCCCGAAAAGAGTCGCAACCATCCAAAAAGACATTTTCGTCCGAAACCTCTCTTCACTTTCTTTGCCTTTCCTATCAAGGCTCCTTCGCCGGCTCCGGACTGACACGCGGCATCACACGTCTCGCTGGCCCAGACTTTGCCGCACGCGTGTGTAAATGATGCTCTCCTGACATTCTGTAATTATCTATCTTCCATAGACTCCCCATCCAGAGGTCTTGTGGCCGCTTTACTTTCCATTCCTCGCGCTCTTTGTACACACCCACACCCCATCCCGCTCACTCGTCCACGTCGTCCCCGTGCTCGACTCGACCAGAGGACGGACACGCTACCTCCCTTCCCAAAGGCCACACGATAATTCAACCATGTCCCTTCCTCAGGCCACGACAATGAAGCCGACGCAGTCGTCTATCAAGTCCTTTTTCCAGCCTCGTCAACAGCCCTGCTACGCGCCTCCGCCTCCGACATCAAAATACGCGCCCGCACCTTCCTCGACAGAAGCTCCGACTGCCCCTCCTCTCCCCGCGACCAAACCCCCCACCTCAACACCGACAGCAGCACTCACTCCGACCACCACGGCATCACCACCTCCTGCAACGACGGCACCATCGCCGGCGGGCTTGACGCCCATCCACCCCAATGCCGCAATCCGCCCCGTAGGCGATCAAGACTTGCAGCCCCTCCGCCGAATCAATTCCCTCCTCCTTCCCGTCGCCTACCCCGAGACATTCTACGCCGCCGCCCTCACGGGCCCTCTCTCCCGCGTGATAACCTGGTCCGATTCTTCCACTTCGGGCGTAGAGCAAGTTGTGGGCGGCGTCGTATCGCGCGTCGAACCCTCTCCCTTCCCGCCCACCTCGCCAGGCGCTCGCTCCGAACACGCCCTTTACATCCAATCCCTGGGTCTCCTCTCGCCTTACCGGTCCTACGGGCTCGCGACTGCCACAATCGATCATCTCGTCGTCGCCGCTGCAGCCTTGTCCCCCGAGATCAACCTCCGTTATGTCTATGCCCACGTCTGGACAGACAACGAAGAGGGCATGCACTGGTACACCGCCCGCGGCTTCGAACGCTACGGAGAGCCACTGCTGGGATACTACACGAAGCTGCGCCCAGACTCGGCTTGGATTGTGCGTCGCACCGTCGGCCCGTTGTCCATCGGCGGCCCAACGCATCATCCCGAGAAGGCGTCTGCGCCTAGACCCGGCCCCACCGCCGCCATTGCGAACCTCCCTCTCATGAGCGGTGGCCCCCCTCTTCCAGCCGCTGGCGAACCGCTCTCGAAATGCACCTCGGGTCAGTCCTTCCAGAACCGTCGCGCCGCGACAGAGTGGAACGACCTGCCTGAGGAGATGGCGCCTGGCTTGCTCGCTGCTCCTCGGAACAAAGCCGGGTCAGAAGCAAGCTCGAGGAGCAGCTCCGCGGCAAGGAAGAAAAAAGACAGATCGTATCCTGCTGCGGCATTCCAGAGCTAGAGGATGAGAGGCTGCCAGAGAGACGCAATGAATAAATTCACCAGATGGGCCAGCCAGCCAGGCTCAAAGAGCTTTCCTGGTGGCCATGAGAAGTGCACCGGGATCATTGAAAAATCGAGCTCTGTCGTAGCGTATATTGAGGGCCTCGCAGACTCGTCTGGGCCAAAGGTCAAGCATAGAGTCATTTCAAGCACCCTACCCTTCATGGAACTTTTTTTTTTCTTTAAACCCATAAATCCTGGACTACGACGTTTGTGGAAAAGCACATCAAACCATCAAGATGGCCGAGGCCAGCGGATGCCAGAAAAGGAAGGATGACCAAGACAAAGCCACCCCCACCAAGTATAGACATTGACTTTGTTTAGAAGTTGGAATGGGAAAGCAAAAAAACACCATGCAGTTATACAGTCTTGAAGAAATAGACGACGCAATTGTTCAGCTCAATTTCAAAAGAAAAAAAGGCCTAACTCCGTTTCCCCTACACCACACCCCCCCCCCCCCCCCCCCCCCTCCTTTGTAGAATCATGTAAAACAAGAAAAAAAAAATATGTTCAACCAGAAATCATCCCGATGCTGAAAAGTGCCCAAACAGAATATCTGGAGGGGGGGTAGCTCGCAGAGGGGAGAGAGAAAGGAGGAGTAGGCCATTTGCCTGCATTTCTTCTTTCCTCTCCCCGAAATGCGTTTTCCATCCACCGTCGCACAAAGGTATGGACAGATCTAAGGTGGTGCGCGTCCTAAGGTCGCACCACAATAATAGTCTGGACAGATGTTTCCGACCGCAAGACGATTATCGTGTACCCATGCGACCTAAAGAGGGACCGCCTTGATCACGTACCTTGGTGCCTCGGTAGATGAAGACGTATTTCGCCCCCGTCCCTCTCCTCATTTCAAACAAGTCTTATCCAGATCGTTCCCCTAAACCCCCTTTTGGTATCTCTCGTTCATCGCCCGGACCATTTCGTTCATGATTGCCGGTTGTAACGTGACCACCAGACGGCGGCAATGGCTGCGACGCCCACGAGGCCGCCAATTATTAGAGCCGTGTTGGTTGTTGAAAATTCTTCGCCTGTTGAAAAAAGAAGACGCACGAGGCGTGATTAGCCAATGGTCTCGCAATGCATGGTGACGGGAATGTCGTCACAATGGACGTCGCGCTTCTTCTCGGCAACGTCGGTAACCAGCAACTTACGAGGTGAAGGAATTGAGTTCAGCTCTTTTTTAACATTTTGCCTAAACTCGGTCAAAATGTCGCCCTCCTTCTCCATGCCGGCTGCCACAAGCGCAATGAGCGCAGCGCCAACTCCGCTACCGTCCTTGGCAATGCCAATACGGATCTTCTCAGCCCCCTTGGCTCCGATGCCGTCGATTGCGCGCAGGGCCTCGTAGATCATGTCGCGGAAAAAAGGGTAGTGCTCGACCAAGCTGCCGTCGACACCGACATCAATGACCTCCGCCTCGGGGTCGTCGAGCTTGCCGGACTGCAGGACGATGGCGCCAATGGCAACTGCAGACAAGCGGGCGGCCCGACGACCAACGGCGCCTGCAACGGCCTTGAAAGCCTGTGCGTCCTCGAGCGAGGGGGTATAAACTTGGAGGATGGACTCGAGCTCCTGTCTCAGAGTCGACAGCTCGGGGGTGTTATCAGCGGCGGCAACAGACATGATGGAGCTGTCGAGACCCCATTGCTTGAATATGCTAGAGCTGGGGCTGATGTCGGTCGTCGACTTCCAGTCGTTGAAGCTCGAGTTTTGGTCCTTGAACAGGGACAGCTTCTCATCCTTGAGCATGTCAAGGATTGTCAGGCGGACAATCTCGCCAAGGAACATGCCGGAGACGCGCTTCTCGAACATTTGGATACCGGGGTTGACACTGGCCCGGTCGAGGGCGATGTCCCACGGGGTGTTGGGCAGCACGTTGAGCTGGTTGTCGAAGGAGCCCCACTCGGTGTTGACGACCATCTCGCCGGTGGTCGTCTCGTAGTCGCCGACAATGGGCTTCTTGATGTTCGACAGCTTCTCGAGGTAAGCACCGTTGGTACCGGTGCCAAAGATTGCGCCGAGGATTGAGCCCGACTTGCCTGTGGAGGTGTAGGATCTCGCCATGAGAGTTCCAACGGTGTCGTTGACGAGAGCAGCGACTCGGACGGGGAGGTGCAACTTGTCGATCTCGACCTGCAAAAGAGCGCAGACATCCTTGCCGACGGCGTCAGGAATGTCAAAACCCTTGGTCCACCGGATCAGGTTGCCCTTGTTGATACCGAGCTGCTGAACGGGGAAGCTGAAGGTGAAACCAAGGCGGAAAACATGCTCGTCGCGGTAGCCCTCGGGGGCGCTGTAGGTCTGGCGGCGGCGCACGTGCTGCTCGAAGTGCTGGGCGTGGTGCTCGCGCAGGAAGAGCTCAATCTGCTTGGCAAGGAAGGAAAAGAGCTCCCCGGCGGTCTTGGCAACCATGAGCTCCTTGGGGATTGCGACCTTGCTGTAGGTGAGGTTGAAAGTGGTGTCGCCGTTAAGCTGGACGGAGCAGACGCGGAAGTTTGTTCCGCCGAGGTCAACTGCGAGGTACAATCCCTACGAGGAATGTCAGTACTAGGAGCGCCACCGCGTAATTCTGTTTTGAGGAGCAGAAATGCGATGCTGCGTTGCTGCGCCGGAATTACCTTTTCAGTGCCATTGGGCACGCCAGTGACGTATGTCGGGATCTGGCTCATGCTGGTTCCATCCTTCTCGAGTCCATCCTCTGCAGCCAAGCCCCAATGTCAGTTTCATTCAAGGAGGATGAGAAGCAAACAGCATACGCATCTGGTGGAGAAACTCTTTGACTGCGCCGTTGATGTAGGCATCAGAGAGCTCGAACTGTTGGACGACGCGTACTGTCTCTGCTTCGAGCGCCATTGTGAGAGGTTTCGAACTGGGCGGCGTGGTGGGGAAGGGCGCTGGGTTTTGGCAGACGGGCTCCTGGTAAATTTGAGCGGAAGGAGAGAATAATGGAGATGGATGGAAGAAATGATGGGAGGGGAAGAACGAAGAACGAAGCTGCAGCTGGAGGTGCGGCGGTAGGAGCTTGGCGTCGCGTAGAAGAAGCTGTGTGAGCTGTTCAACCGAGGAAGCAGACGAATTAGCACAAGGTCTGCAGGAGTACCTATCTCCGTTACGAGATGGTGTGGAGAGAGGGCGGGGAGTGAGGATTGGCTGGAAGGGTAGGTTGGACGGTTTGAGTTGGAGGAAGCCAGGTAAAGGTATGAGAGAGGAAAGAAGTGGTGGTGTCCAACAAGGTAAATAGAAAACAAAAAGCCAAGCAAGGCAGGCTGGGTAGGACGAGGCAACGGGGCCAACAGAAAAAAAAGTCTCAGGTCCTGGCTAAGCAGACTCGAGGATGTTCTGGGGGGAGCTTTGTGGATGATGTAGGTGACGAAATCGTACTGAAATGGGCCGGGGGAGGATGGGGTCAATTGGCATGGAGCGAGAACGTGGAGCATGGAGCATGCGTGGAGCTAGCCATGGAGCTGGCCATGGGGCAGGGAGAGCATGGAGCAGGGGCGGGCGGCCAGGCATGGGTCTGGCGTCAGTCAGAGTACACTACCTCTCGAATCCGAACCCAAATCCAGACGCAATGAGGTAATGTTGGTGGGTGTGGGGTGACAGGCCTCGTACTTGCTTGCTTGCTTGCTTGCTTCGCTTGCTACACAGGATTGTTCCCAGCGGGGCCACTGGATATCGGGAACAGGACATGACATTTGACCATTTGGCCATCATGACAGGCGTCGCCGAGAAAGTCCCAACCGGCGCCGCGGATAAGGAGCGGGGACTTGGACCGTGGTCGGGACCGGTGGTCATGAGTATGAGTGAGACCATCCGGATGGGACTGGAGAAGAGGGATCCATCTGCTGGAGCAGGTGATTGAAAGATTGGCAGACTTTCACCGAGAAAGATGTTGATTCCATAGGTCTGGCGAGAGTCGTTGCTGATGCTGGTGCTGATGTCGATGCATGCCAATGGGCCAGGGGAACGAACCATCAAACCACTTGGTCCGTGGTGTCATGGACCACGCCAGGCCTTCTCGTGGAGTTCGGGCCGGACGGAGCTACAAGCTGCGTGACGAGAATCGGGTTTTCCGCAGCACGCACAACGCCAGCTTGGTAAAATAAAATGCCGGGGACGGGTGGATGCAGTCAGCGAGCAGCACCACGCCACTGGTACGCGCGATGTGAGGCGAACTGCTGATGCTGCGTGACCTTGGGAACCTTGAACCTGGGTAAGAAGGGCTCACACCTGTCTGCGGGGAATGTCCGTCCAAATGCCCAGTCAGGCCGCCAATTCAGCGAACGTAGGTAGTGCGATGGCGGCTGACTGACACCACGTCTACACCAAGGCCCGCATCAGGCGGCAGCGGCGCCCGGTCAAGCGTTCTGAACGTGGCCTTGGACGAACTGGCTGCGCAGGAGGCAATACCCCTTGGGAATTGGGCCGAAGGAAAAAGCTCGGCGGGCCGGATATAGCTTTTCGTCATTCATCATTGGTCCAAGCATGGAACCTCGGCGCCCCCGTTGTCTCCAATTGGCCCCGGTAGATACCGGCAAGGTCCCGATCATCAAAGTGTCTCGCCTCAACTCGCCTGCTTTTCTGTCCTGGTCTGGTGTCCGTCTCTCTGTCCGGCTGCTAGTGTAGGTAATCTGCAGCAGTATGTCGCCCGCCGCTTTCAGTGATCCCAGTTCAAGTATCGCAGGTCGAACGCTTGTCTGCTGCTTGCAAGACGGGGAAAAAAAAGGACCTGGGGCCCCGTGGAAATCTGCAGGCTGCCCACCAGGGGTATCCCTCCTCCAAATGGCTCAGCTTGGCTCAATAGAGGAGAGAAATCTCCAGACCACGGCCACGCGCCACTCGACGCTCATCATTCATGGCGGTTCATGCCAGACAGCACAAGCAGGGAGGGCTGACAGGAGACACTGTCCCCGTCCCACGGCGACCCCACTTCTACGCCGAAGAAGCTCCCGTCTGCATCCACCATCGCCCACCCGGACGGGGGCCACCGAACATGCCGGAATTTGGAAAATGGAGAGACCTTGACCAAAGAAGAGGGAAAACCCGGGCGGAAAGTGTGCGCGTGCAACAGTGCTCGTGGAAAGAAACAAGGGGCAATGGTTTGCTGGGGTTACAGGGTGAGGATTTGGGGTGACGGACGGGGACCGACGGGGGAACAACTCAACAATTGCAGTGTGTCTGTCTGGTGAAGTGGGAAGAGGAAGAAAAATCCGCACTGCTGCAGAGGTACTTACTAGGACGAGCACTAGGAACACGACCGAGCAAAGGCCGTACCAAAATGAGGAGACCCCATGGGAGACCAGGAAGCTGCTCCTCCTTCTCCGGTGTCTCGGATCTCCGACTTTGCTTTTGACTTTGGATTGTCGATTACCGCCTTTGTGGTTGCTGCCGGTGGTCTTTTTCTTCGTCATGATTATGGCCATGGTCTTGTTGGCTTGGGGCATATCGTTGCCGTCGACCGCCAGCACCACCATCTCGTTGTCGCATGCACCGCCGTCCGCGCCCTTTCCATCACGCTGCGGCTGATGAAGCTGCTTCTGGCCATCGACATGCCGCCTTATTTCGTGACGTCGGCCCTGCCGCCGTCCATCGAGGTCTTGACAGCCAGTATCAAGACCGCCCGCGCGCCAATCGGCGCCTTGCCTCCGGATGTAGGCCGACAATGTGCCGGTGTTTGCTATATTCAAGATGCAGAAGTTCTCGCTGCGGGCGCGTCGCTGCACCTCACCGCGAAATCTCCCGCTAAAGGGGTTTTTTTACGTGTTCCTGATCGAAACGACGGCTAGATGAGTCTTTTCTTTTCTCTCTCTCCCCCCACACACTGTCTTCTTGCTAGGAGAGGCCAAAAAGCCCAGAACGGGCTCTGCTTCCGCAAAGACCGGTGAACGTCGCCCCGTGTGCAGGCTACGAGCTGCAGCGCAGCGCAACGTAGTAGCGTGCGCCTTTGCGGCGATTGCGCTGGGTGCGGGATAATGGCGGCGTAACGCTGGTTCTTCCGCTGAATTTCTTCCTCTCGGCCCTTTGGAGGAGACAGCACGCGTTCAAACGGCCCGTCTGTAATTAGTTTCCCGGGTGTGACGCTGCGAAAAGACGAAGAGGACCCAGGCCTGTTCCACTTCCAATGAGGTCATGAAATTGGGTTCCAGGAGCCAGGTGGGGAAGACGGCCCTGCAAGGGTGGTGCGCCAAAACTCTGGTGTCCTCGTGGGCGGTCTGTCGTGGAGTTATTTTCGTGGGTTCGTGGGTTGAGTGCCCGGCGGCAGGGTCTAGCGAGAATAAAGATCGGGCAGACGATTCTGGGTGTGCAGTATGGAGAAGTGTACGGAGAAAGTCGATGGAAGAGATCGCCGCCGTCTGCCGAGTCGCAGCACTGCTCGTGATGCTCGTGGGCCGAATCGCCTCAAACTCAGGGTTCTTCACGTCTGACGCCGGGTCTTGGGGGCTTTGGGTCTTGGACCTAGGCAGGCCGGTCGGAGGATTTCCAGAGTCCGAGTGGTTGTCTTTGGGACGACGGTTGGTGGCTTGTCTTGGTATTAATAAACCGGGCGCTCCCCGGGCTTTCGGCTGCGCTTTCTCTTGATTTCAGGTTTCAATGTCGCTCGGTCGCAGTCTTCTTTGTTGCAGTTGCTCCCCAGTTGTCGGCTGCAGTTCTATGTCATGCAACCGCCCAGAAGTGGTTTTTTTTAGGCCTGTCAGTCCTTGTCTGAAGAAGTTGGCAGATGCTGAGGTGAAGTGACGACGGTTTGCTTTGCCTGGCAAGTGTGCCGCGCCGGCCTAGTGTAGTCCACCTTGCCCTCGGGTCCGGAGACGTCAAGGTGCAGAATGAATCTTGGATGATATGCAATCGCTCTTCCCTGTCTCAATGACTGATTTCCCGGTTTGGGCTTTAGTCGTTTGGGTGTGCCTCAGCGGAGGTGGTGGTGGTGGTGGTAACGGTGAGATCTGATCGATGAGTCGCTCTCTCTGATTCGCCGGAAATGTTGTTCAACGAGTTTCCAGTGTATTTGACGCAGATCTCAACCCTTCGGGCGATAAGACAGACAACTCCTCGAGGGACGAGAACTGATGTCGTCGTACCGAGAAGGACAAAGAGGTGAAGAGGGACAACAGGGCGGCGATGTCATTCGTAAGATAACAAAGAGGAGGCTGGCTAGTGGTTCCTACGGTCTATTGACGCCGTCTCCCCATCCGCTCAAAGGGGGAAAGGAGGGGTTCTCTCGGGTGCCTCTTTCGGTTGAGAAAAGGCTTCTGAGGAGTGGAGGATGTGCCAGACTTGAGAGTCAATTGACCACTCAAGAATGCCGTCGAACCGTGGCAGGGTCCCGCCCAACTGTACGGTGTGTGTGTGCGCGCGTGCGCCAACTGCAGGCCGGGGTCTGATAATCCGGGTCGTTGAAGGACCTCCCAATCGCTGCCAGAGAAAAAGAGTGCCGTATTGGGCAGAGGGCTGGGATCTTGTGTTCCTCGCTGTCTGGAAAACAACACATACACGCGATATGGAAGAATCCGGAAATAATCATCAGCACTCCAGGAAAGAGGTACACAATGTTGGGAGCACCAAAGTAGTACTCGCGCAACGTCTCCCGTAAGGGAAGGAAGGGTCAATCAAACATCAACGGGTGTCCCTGCTCCCCCATCCCCGAGTCTACTGTCCGTCCCCGACTTATGGTTGGCGACAGTTCCCTGGTCATCAATATCCCTTCCAATTGGGGGAGCCTCACACACGAGCCAAACGGGACACATTGCTTCTTCATAACAAATTCCAGAATTTTCTAGACTAGCTGGCCCATGATGCCTGGCCGTGATTCCGGATATACATGCCCCATGCTCCATTCCCCATGCCATGCCATGCTATACGGACACGTTGCCAGATGCTACGGACCATACATTTCACCCCCTTTCTATGGTTTGTCTTCACGTCGGTGTGGGTTCAAGTCCAAGATGAAGCAGAGTTGGAACCCTGATGCCGTCTGATCTCGGTCCAATGTTACGCCGTTGGTTCAAAGGTCCTCTTGACTATGAAAAAGGACACCATAAGCAACATAGCACAAGTGAGGAAGACGCTGTTTCGGTGTCCGTCACCTGTTCTCATGTTAATTCATCATCGAAACCAGCTTTGCGCAAGAAAACTTACCCTCTTCATCCAGGCTGTGCGCCACGACAACGAAGACGTTGAGTGGTAGCCTCAGCAGGCTATACACACGCCCTCGTACGCCGTCCTCGACAACCTGGCTCTTCAGGAATGACATGCTCGGGAAGTATGCGCCGATGCTAGCTTCCACCAAACACAGCGCCCAGAACAGAAACATCTCGCTCTCGAATAGGACAGCCGCCGAGAGACAGCAGCTCACCATGAGCACCACAAGCATCAAGATCACCGAAGTCGTCTCCTTGGAGTGAGACTTGGTGTAGAGCGAGAAGAACGCCGAGCCCGCCATCATAGCACACATGAAGCTGGAGAAAATGAGTCCAAAGGGCAACTCCTCGTTTGAGCCAGCCCTCGTTCTCGCACTCTTGAGCGCTGCAGACCAGAAAAACACAAAGAGGTACATAGTACCCTCGAAGACGGTCGACGTCAGACCCAGCGATAGGATGCGCTTGTCGCCTATGATCATCTGGATCCCGCTCTTGACATCTCCGAGAGAGGATGTTGCCGGGCCGGCTTGCTTGGCCCCATAGTTCTCCTTCCATCTTCCCATGATCACCCACATGGCCATCGCGGAGCATGCCACGCTTGCCATGAACGGCCAGACACGGCCACCCAGGGCGTTGACCAGGACGTCACCGAAGATGCCAGAGGCAATCGCCACGATGGAGCTGATGGTGGTCATGTGACCGAAGATGGCGCCCAGCTTGAGCTTCGTCCGTGACAGACCACGCTGATTGTATTCTGTAATCAACCATGCTTCGAACACGCTGTAAAGAAGGGTGGTTGAGATGCCGCCGCAGAAGCGGCCGAGGAACAAGATGAAGAGGTTGTCGGTGAGCATCGTCAGGCAGGTAAAGATGTACGTGATGCAGTACGTGATACAGGCAAGACGACGGCCATATCGATCGGCGAGTTCGCCAGCAAAGGAGGCCGAAATGGCACCGGAGACGAAACCAGCAGCGTACAGCGCAGCGACAACCTTTTCGGGTATGTTCTTGTCGTACTTGTAGATGGCATAGATGTGCGGGCCCTATGTCGTTGTCAGCTTGGAACCACTACACCTGCAGTGCTTTCTGTTACCTGCAACCAATCAGCCGCCATTGCCAGAGCGTAGACGGGAAAGAAATCAAGCTGGAACTGCCGGACCGCGGCCTGCGACCCAGCGGGCTCCGTGAGCAGTTGAGAGAGCTCGATGTCGTGACCTTCAGCACCATCGTCAACAGCGGCCGCCTCCTGTTTCAGCTCTTCGATTGCCTCTTGCTCCTGGCGCTTGTACTGTTGATACAGCAGATACCCATTGCCCGCCGCGAAGGCGGCTAGGTTCAGCTGGTAGAAAGACATGTTGGAAAAGTGCCTTTCTGTGAGTGCGGAGATGTGAAGGCCAAACTGTTGCGGTTTGGGACGTCTGTGTAATATAATATGTCTGTCAGCGCGGCGAGATCAGCATTCCGCGATCCAAGCATAGCATGTGCTTCGTGTCTTGGGATATCCTGACATTCCACAGGTCTCAGCTGCCCTTTGGTCGACGGCGTCTAAGAATCAATGAAGGGGTCTCGAGGATGCTGTGGCGGTAGAGGGAGAAGAAAAAAGGTAAATGAAAATTCAGAGTAAGGGAACTGTGCCCTAGGAAAGAGGAAGGGGCTGGAATATGTCCCCCATCGTTCTTTCCAACTTTGGTCGAGCAGCCGTGACGGGCAATAAATGGCATCGATGGGCTGTAATGATGGCTGGAAACGGACTGACAGGAGACAAGCTCCCCAAACCTGGGACGCCATGCTCGCTCAGTTGGTCGGAGTGCTATTGAATCTGGAACACGGTCCCTGAGCTTTGTGCCTGTCGAGTCCTTGGTAGAGAGGTAGAGCTGGGCTGGTCCTGATATCCCGAGTTTAACCCAATGCACCATGCTTGATGATCCACACTGACCGGCCTGAGATGGAGGGGCGGTGACAATCCAATCGAAGCCACCCATAGTGTCCGACTTGGAATTCGTCCTACCTAGTAGTCCACGGCTACAGTAGTCGTAGTATTCACGCGGGGATGCGTTGGCTAGCAACTTCAACCAGGCCCGCGTCGTGATGGTTGCGGCCGGATCCATTCCACATGAACTAGAGGGAGTTACCGTGGAAGATGATAGGCCGGTGCCAGACGCTCCCTGGCAGTGCTGTATTACTCAAAACCCTCCCTCAAATGCCTTGACGTATTTACCTGCAGCTGCGCTGTTTGCATGCCGTGTGATTCCCTTGCACTGTGAATATGCATGTCAAGTCTTTACAAGTATTGCCTAGGAGTTCACAGTCGAGGAAAGGGGGGTGAAGCAGCAAGGGCTTCTCTGTCATCTTTGTCAAGCCAACCTTGACAGGTCTACTTCGTACTACTTATGAGTCCCTTGCGCGCCTCTTATGTGTACCTGCTTCGATCACGGCCACCTGTGTCTTGATGCACTCCAAGTGCTCAACTCCGGACTCATACTTGCGGAAGGATAGGTAGTCGGCAACCGACAACAACGACTAGGGCTCCCGAGGGTTCTCACCGGGCACATGCCGACGGGTCCACACCGTCGGCGCTCCGTCCAGTGTCCATTATAGTAAACACCCATGTCCGTGATGCATACATATATATATTATGGATCTCGCCGGAGCCAATCCGGGCTTTCAGAGTGCTCCGAGGGAACGCGTCCATCCAGCCAACGGCCCAGCAGAGCTTTGAGGCAGTGCTGAATGAGGGGGCTGGGGTCTGATAGAAAGCTATCTACTCCGTACATCGTACGTGATGTGACCCCAAGGATATCGCGCCAAAATGTCGGCAAAACCGAGAGCGCATGGGACCCTCGTCCCAGCGTTAGATGCAGGAATAAGAGAGCAACAGTTGTGAACCAGAGTCGATGCGCCGGGCCAATGTCGCTTCCAACGGAGGGCACTGGCAGTGAGTTCTGCGCTCGAGCCCGCCGGCACTCTATGCCGAATCGAAAGACACCGGCTTGTCGCCGTGTCGTCCGCTGATTGACGGACATGTCGGCAGGAAAACACAGCACTCACTGGCCGATTGTTGCTTGTTTCTGACAAGAATGCCTCGCATTGTCAGCTCTCGTACAGGTTGAGATTCGGCGAAGTACTCACCCTATACGGATGGCAGAATCGGGGAACGCTGCTAAATCCCCACGAGCTGGTGCGGCTGAGCTTGCCAACGCCGATCAGTGGACGAAGCCAGTAAGGATGCACCCTGTCGGGCCTGGGTACCAGACGCATGCGGGGCTCAGCACGCCTGCTGTGCTACGCCTCGCGGCGCCCTGGCTGTCCCATTGACAACTGTAGCATGGGATTGACCCGTGTCATGAGGTACGTGCCGGGGTTCCTCTCGATGGTCGAGCAGTGGCATCTCTAGCTCACGCACTTTGTACGAGGATAGCTTGAAGGCGTCGTCTATGGCGTCGATGCGGTCCAGCGGGTTGCCGTCACAACCGATACCGGCAAGGCTTTCTCTTCCGCCAGATGAGCGGGCGGCCTCCCGTACCACACGTACAAGTGTAAGAGGTGAATGGGCGGGATTGTAGGGGCCCGAATGGCGGATGGCAACACGAAGTGCGAATACCCAGCCGCCCTCGGGAAATGGTGGATGACAGGACGGATCCTTTGCAACGGTCCCCCACCTTTGTTGGGAGGTTTGGACTTGCGTGCCGCCCTCGTCTTCGAAGGGCGTTCTTCTCGGCCGAGGGATTTTCTGTGGGTGGGAATCGAAAGATGATTTGGCGTGTCATCAGCGTCTGTTTCAGCATCCCAGTATGTGTGAAATGACAGTTCCCAAACAACAAGGTCGGACACAGACTCTCGTTTGCGGGTAATCAATCGAGCTGCAAGGCCAACGGGAGAGTGACTAGGTTAGTTCCATGGTTTCCATCTCGTCTTTCTTCAACCAGAGAACATGGAATGGAAAACCCTGAAGAATGGGGAGGGACTCGGAGTCGGGAGGGGCATTTGGGGTGCCTGACAGGTGAGCGGCAGGACAGGCCCAACCTAATCTGGCGGGGTAAGCACGACAGACGACGAAAGAAAAAGAGGGAAAGAGCAAAAGAGAATATCCGAGGGCGATAGTTACAGTACACCTCCCACCCCCACTTTCATCTGCCCTCTCTTTTGTTCCAAGATAAAAGAACCGGACCGAGGGCAAAGACGGACTGTTACACAGTTTGTTTAATCAAACATGAGGTCACAGGCAATCAGTTAGCTGTAACGCCAATCCAACAGGTCAGGTCCTCGGAGTTGGGGTCATGGGCACGAATCCTTGAGAGAAGGAGGGATGGAAAGCACACCCCGGCAGGTTCAGAACTTCAGCGTCCAGACCAGCCGCATGCAGACCAAGGAAAGTCCTACGCGAAAAGTCCTACATCTCTAGTGTACCTAGGTATACAATGGTGTACCTACCTTATACTAGGTAGGTATTACTACATATACACATGCGTCCCGTTCCCCAGCCTGTGAGACTCTCTTGACGGGCCGTCTCTTATCCCCTCGTTTTGAGTCGCTCGTGCCCCACGTTATGCTGATGCCCCACCCCGGCCAGCTGGAAGAAAACCTAAACCTGTTCATTGGCGACGACGAAACATAGACTACTACCGGAACCTTGTATTTCTGGTGCTAACAGTTTCGTGAGAATATCATGGTTGGTCGCTCGTCTTTCTTCTGCTGTGCCTCATGACACGCACAAGGAACCGACCTCACTGATGGCTTTGCAACAAACCGTGGGTTCCCCGGCGAGCTTTCCACCGACTTCTCTGGCCTGCCGGGTTGCGGTCGAAGACCGACGTCGAATAGATGGGTCGTCGGAGCGGTTTGGCGGGCTTACTGGGTCCTCCCAGTCACGTCTTCGGTCGCAGACCGACAAACAAGCAAGCCTACGGGGCGCTGTCTTGCGATGTCCCGACACTGACAAAACAGCTACCCGCACACCGAGAGCACCATCCCCGGCTCTCGGCGGGACTGGAAAGAAAGGAGGTTGGGGCAGAAAATCCCATCCCCACGGCTCTTGTGCCGGTTTGTTACAATCTGACGGGAGCGGCAGGGTTGAGGACTCTTCGTCGGCATCGACATAGTGAGCGAAGAGGGGGGTTTGGGTCTGCTCCCCTCGGCCGTAGTCGGAACGGGCTGATGGTGGTTGTGGTGGTGTGGGCTCGCAATGCTTCCTCTCCATTGATGAGTCCGTCTCACTAGATGCTTGCATCTCTTGTTTGAAGACCATCCGGGGTTGAGACACACAGCTTCAGCTCTCAGGTACGGCCTCAGCTAACCATCTGCCAGCCTCAGGCCACTAGTGCTGTGACTGGGCGAGAGTCTGTATATCGAAGACGGGGGAATTCGCAGACCAAGAATGAATGCCGTCTAAGATACAATGTCGTCCGATATTTGCCGTCTCTCTTGACGTGGGCAGGAGCAGCGTCAAAGGCCGGTCTCGAGATGCCTCGTGTGGAAAGCTGTCGATGCTAGCGTCCCCATCTCCTTGTCCCAGATCCCAGACAATGACAACGGCAATGGGGGGACGGGACGAAACACCTTCGGTGATCTGTTAATCTGACCGCATAAGAGACGACAATCCGACAGCCGCGAAGTGTTCCGACATGCAGATATAATGAGCGCTGTCCACACTACCTACCTATAGCTGGCAACGAACGACATCGAGCCGAACCTGGACGGGTAGCTGAGGCAGGAGGGAGATGTAGGCAGTACCTACGTACATTGTACTTGGGCTGTACCAACATACGAGTCACGGTACGAAACAGAGAGCAGTAGCAGTAACAGCGCGCAGCAGCATCCTACGGATAATTCTCCTTCCCCACCGCACCTCACTGCTCATCTGACGCCTTGCCGGCAGCAGGCCAGTCTAATCCAGCATCGTCCAATCAAAGGGCGGGATTGGACGGTAGCCTCAGCCTTACACTGCCCGGATGGCAAGCCGGGGGAGGGGTGTACAGGTACAGGTACATACACCTGCAGGCTTCGCTTTAGTGTTAGGTAGTGCCGTCAGCTGCTAGCACAGTATCGGTAATCTAGGTACTGTAAGAGCAGCAGCCACCGGGCCATCCTGCAGCCCTAGCCCCCGTGTGGTTACTCCCTACCCACGGAATCAAGGCGCAAAGATACGCCTGCCTCGGACAGCACACAGTACAGTACACAGAGAGAGCACAGGGCAGCAGCGGCGCCATCTCATCCCGCTCCAACACCTCTCCAAAGCTACTGCAGAAGCAATGCAGCAGCAAAACTTGCGACCGCGCAAACAAAGCTGGGTAAATCCTAGTAGAGGAAAGTAGTAGAAAAAGGGGGGCATCAGGACGGACCGAGAAAAGGGAGGCA